AAAATAGAAAGTGGGAGTGATGCTGTTCTGTCATGCATAGCCATAACCAGTATGAGTCACCAGAGACAGATAAATGGGAAAGAAAGGCCAATTCCACTATTTCTTATATCCTAAATCTTGGGAAATAGTGGGACACTTGCTAGGCCATCAGAAACACAAGTAGAACATCACCAAATGCTGAACCACAGTGACCAGATAACGAAGATTTTACACATAGCTATTATGTCAACAGCCCTCAAGATTGTTCTGTTCTAGCAGCTCTGAGGAACATAAACCATATTTCTGTTAGGGTTTATGCAGCATACCTCCAGTACCACTGTTTATCCGCACATCATGGGGCAGTCCTTCCTTGTAAGATGCTAGATTGGTGAGGCATTTGACATCAAAGTTCTGGAGATACGCTACGGGGGCATTTTCAACACACTGTCCAGCCATGGATTGCTGCAGGTGGTTCAACAGAAATAAGTATGCTGGACACTTTTCTAGTCCCTTGCTTTTCATTTGAAGACTATTTATTAGTGAAATGATCCAAGTCTGTACTACAGCGATATATGACTCTTCGACAAACAAGTAATCTGATGTTACCAAAATACCTCAATCTGTAGCAAGAGAGGTTAAAATTTAAAAAGCACATCTTTAAAAATAGTATCAGTGTACAGTATGGTTTCATTCTAATTTGTCAAAATAATTATAACCAACAAGTCTCTCTAAAATGCAAAAGGAATTTAAAAAAACTAGAAACAGATGACTAGGATTCAAAGTTAAAACCAAATATAGTGTTCAGCAATGCATCAGGCAAACCAAAAAATACAGAAAGATGGTAATTCATAAACTATTAACTGGGATGCCAAGCTTGCTTTTAGCTCTTGAAACAACCAAGACATTACCAATTTGCAGGATGGGCAGAGGGATCAGGAAGGACAGTGTTAACTTTTAATAATGATTTTGTTTGTTTAGGGTTTTTTTGTGAAAAATATATTCTATCACTTCACAACAGCAAGTTGCAGAATCTGGTTCTGGTTCAGGAGGAGAGTGATATACAAAGAGTATCAAACAAACCAAGAGGAATCAAAAGCTCCTAAACACAAAGTGATTACCTGGGGAATGGTAAAATACTCATTTTCTTCTGTCATAATTGGATCTCCTTGTCTGTAACCAGTGAAAAGTTTCCCAGGAGAAGTTTGTAAAGGGATCTTAAATGAAGAAACTTTGCGTGTAGAACTGAAAACAAGTTTAAAAATTAAACAGTTCTTTGCTCTCTCTCCCACACAAATAATTATACATTTGCTGTCATGTCCCATGTTCTCATATAGTACCAGTGACATTTCCCTATTTGCATTTGAAGTTCACACCCTAAAATTCCAATTCCAATTTCAAAATAACTTTAAAAAAACAGGTTATATTTTCAGTAGCATGCCTAACACGTGTGTTGAGAAAATCAATTTTCTTAAGACTTACATAGAGCCATGATAAAAATAGCCGAGAAATGGTGTATTGTTAAGAGAAGACTGTACACAAAGAAAAGGAAACCACTCAGGGGTATATTCCATTGACTGAGAAGAGCACAGCTGATCAAAAGGTGGGTTTACATCCCCACCAAACACTCCAGTGAAACATGATTCATTGAATAACTGCTTCAAGTCTGGTGTACACTCCTGAAACGGAAAATAATGGTCACTTTTTAGCACAGTAATTGCATTACTTTAGATGATACAGCCATACTTACAGGTAAATCAAACCAATTTTATAGAGAGGTCATATTTACTATCAGAAATACCAGAAAAAACAAACGAGCTCTCTAGCCCCATCTAGTCTGAAGCATTCAGTACTCCTCTCTCCCACAAAATGATAGAAAGAGCCTAGAAATTTTGAAAACACTTAATCAAAGTTTAATATAAGTACCGGATCACAGCAACAACGAACATCACAAGCTTCAGCTGTCAAGTCACAAGGACAAGAGCCCAAGGGACGAAACACCTGGTTTGGAATGATAGTTTCATTTTCTGTAAAATAATTTAGAATTAAAAAAAAAAAGATAAAATCAGATTAAATGGACTGGAATGCAAATAAATAGACCATACGCATTGCAGTTTATTCCAATGATGTACAAACCTTTTCTTAAATGCCATTAATGATTATCCAATATCTCTCATTTCTGCCCAAATCCCAATTTTTGTTTTTTCATATACAAAGGAGAGGAACAGCCAAAATGCCATTTCTTCTTCAGCATATCTAGACACTTACCTGATACATTTCCTGTAAAGGAAGAGTTGGCATGTATTTCAGCTTGGATCAGGAGGTGTGCCAACATCACTGAATCACGGCAAGCTAAAACCTGAAGCGTTTCAAGCACACAGAGAGGTGTTGCGCAGCAGTCAGTGGCATTCAACAAACACAGCTGTAGATTTCTAGTCAAGCTTATAGTCACTTTGGAAGTGTTCTGAAAAAATACAAAATAAAATTTGACAGCTTTGATGGCTTGTATTAGATTACTCTTACTTATAACATTCATCAGCTTCTGAAAGAGCAGTTTCGGTACTACTGCGTTTTGTCAGTGCTACAATGCAATGACACTCTTCCTACATAAAACCAGATATTTGTTGAAAGTGGAATGAGTAAGGGTCTGCTAGTGAGATATGCAAATAGAGTAACGATATGAACTGTACACAAATTTTTTTTAAGGCTTGCACACAGATTAAGTTACCTCAGATATTGTATGCATAATTCTAAAGAAAATAAACAATACTGAAAAGTGAATTTCAGTTTTCACAGCTACCTTTAGTTGAAAACTGGGATGACTGCAGAGCTGATAAAACCCCTAGGGAATTATGCATAACATATCACTGAAGGCAGGTCTAATAAAAATAGATGTTCCAGAGCTCATGCTGTATAAAACAACTACTTTTTTATTTCTATTAGCTCTTTCCGACAGATCTGAAAGAGTCTCAAATGTCAGGAAAACCAGCCAGAAAGTACAGGCAATTCTGGAGCGGAAGAGGACAACAAGGAACCAGTGTTAAAGCTGCACCTCAGCAAACTCCAGAAAGAGCATTCACATAAAGGGATATGTCAAGGAAAAAAGGCAAAGGCAAGATATTCAAAATGGGTTGTTAGTACATTAACATTTTGCCAATATTTCATTAGCCCTTAATATATGACAGTTCAATCCTTCACATTTTAGGGAAGAAACAGTATTTTACATACCATACCAGGTGTTACGTTCAAATTCCAATCACCAGCTCTTTTATTGTCATGGCAATTTGCAAGTTGCAATTTTCCTGTATCAAAATAAAAATTTTAAAAGTACTCCACTGTCATTTATAAAAGCCTGAAAAATAAAAAGTACATTTAAACTCCTCTTGTGCCTTCAAATAGGCACACCCTCACGCGCAGCTGACAAGGAGTTCACAGAGGACTAAGGGCTTAATCAGCAGAAGTCCTTTGGCATTCCTATTTCAGTAACTATTACAGCACAAAATGAAGTGCATTGCCATTTCTCCAGTAATTTTAGTGTAAAAAAAAAAAATATTAATGATTCAAGCATATTTATTTACATACTACTGGGGGAGAGGGTTGAGATGTTCTTACCTGTCTCTTCCTCTATAGGACTTAAAATTATAGAAAAATCAACTCCTGAAGAATTTCCAAGAAAAAATGAATTGACTCTGGGCCCTGACATATGGATAAATGAAGGCTGAAAGACTAAAAAAAAAAAGAAAGAAACGAGTCTTAGCACACACTAACTGGAAAAGGTAACATGTGTAAGACATATTTAGGTCTTACACTCAGGCTAGATTCTTACCTTCCTATACTTCAAATCGTCACAAATAGAACAAAAATATCTTGTGATGCTTAGTAGAGGATTGTATTTACATTCTTGCAAAGCGCGAGAGCAGTGGGTTCACCGCAGCTTTCTATACCATAAGTTTACATCTGTCAAGATGCTCAGTAAACACAGTAATGTAACATTAAGGCAGAAGACTGCAGCACTTACTGGCCCATGCAGATAGTATACAGGTCAGACAACAACATATTCAGTATTTCTTGCTGACTTCGGTTTACACTTTTTAATTTCTTATGGCCTTGAAGGGTACTAAGTGCATACCACTACCTGTGATGCAGTAATTGCAAACTACCACCCTCAGCATGTGGATGTAGTTTGAAGTTTAGGGCTCCAAGATGGGAGTTTCACTAGAATTTCCTTTATAGGCTTTAGCACGCTTCAAAGGTCCAACATAAGCAGCTCCACCTTTCCCCCCCCCCAGTCTCCCCCAGTGCTAAGCAGTAGCAGAAATCCAGGGCCAGCCAAAGGCTCCTAACCTCCTAGTCCCTGGGGAACCCTCGGGTCCTCCGTGGCCTCCTCTCATGCCCACCCGGGCAGCACCCGCCGTCGGCCACTGAGGGAAGGTCCCGCCGCCGCCCAACCCCCTTTCCCCACACCCCGGCCGCCCTTTCGGCCCCCTTCCCGCAGCAGCCTTCCCTTCGCCCACCCGGAGGCCGCCATTGATCGCGGCGCCTGACAACCTCCACCCACCGGTGTCCCAGGCCCGCTGCCCAGCGCAGAGTGCCGCCAGCAGCAGCAGCGCCCCGAGGAAAGCAGCCTCCATGGCGCCTAAGGAGTGCCGCGCCGCCGAGCCAGCCGGCGCCCGACCGCCATCTTGCAGCGCCAGCGCGGCGCCATGGTAACGGCAAGGGGCGGGAAAAGCTGCCGGCGGCGCGGCCGCCTGAGGGGGAAGGCGGGCGGCGGGACCGGCGGCTGGTCACACCGCACGTCCCCCTCCTCACGGTAGCGATCGCACAGCAGAAAGTGGGACCAACCGTGACAGCCTAGAGACGTCTGTCCCTCATCTTCACACCCAACTCCACACGGACCCCATCCTCCCGCTGGCACTTCGCCTAGCACCTGATCACACTGTTCCCCTCTTACACAATGACACTGCAAGAAGGTCGTGTAGCTCACGCTTGAAAATTACTGTTATTATAGCAATATCTAACCACAGTTGAAAAAGAACAAGTTTTATTACAAACGTTGTATACAAAGTAAATCATAAATACTGCCTTCAAACAAAATGCCTTTTGACAATCAAACCAACCAGTAAAAGACTGATACTACAGCTGTTAGATTGGCAGAGCCCTGATGCAAGTACCAAGACATGACATAAATTCCTGTACACACCTTAGGAAAAGATTTTTTTTTTTTTTTTCCCTATGGAGGAAACAATTACTCTCTGTATTCCTTTCAGGAGAATATCAGTTACTAACAAGAGGTTAAAATACCATACTCTACAGTTACTTTTTAAAAGGGGAAGATTATTTGTTTGTTTAAGTGAAAGCCATGTTCAGAAGTAACCAGCATACTCTCATGCTCTGCTATAAATACACCAATCCAAAAGTCTTAATTCGTGTCAAATGCCAGACCTAAAACCACATACCAAAAAGAAAAAAAGTATGCCTGCTGTCATATTACATAGAATTACACTTTTTGTTTTCCAGTTTCAAAATACAGATAGTCTGCATTTACTGAAGTTATTTTATATAAAGGGGAGCCTTTTTATTCATAAATGAAGACATATCCAGTTGAGAATGAAATACCAAAAAGACAGTACAGTCAAAGGAATATGAACACATATACATTTGAGTGCACATGCAGGGCAATTAACATATTTAAAAAAAAAAACAAAACAAAACAAAACAAAAAAAAAAAAAAAAACAAAAACAAAAAAAAAAAAAAACCAAAAAGGGGGGGAGGGTGTGTTTTCTAACCCATCTTAAAAATGTTAGCTCATTTATTTTGAAACTGATACTGTCTTGATCCAAAAATTGCTAGCAAAAGCTAGCAAGAAGTTGAAGCCCCTAAATAACATAGTGCTAAGGTTCTGATCCTACACACTAAAAATGGTCATTCTTACCTTTACACCAACATACAAAAAGAATCTGAGCTTTCTTCTCTTTGAAAGTAAGTTGGAGGTGTATAACTTTGCAGTAGCCAGAATACCTTCTACTTCACAGGGTGTGTCTCTTAACAGGCTATAACTTATTTTTCCTCTCACAATTAAGAATTAGTATTTAAAACAGCACACGTTACATGGTAATACAGTGGTTTGTTACTTAAAGGGCTGCATGGAAGACATACGATTTAAATATTTATCCCTTAAGAAACAAGTAATACCATATCCAGTAAAAAGTGCCATCAATTTCTCAAGTATGCTCCATTTCATGGAATTACTGGAGGAGGTAATGATGTATTTACATAATGTTGTTATGCAGCTAACTTTAATTTCTTCTTCTTAGCTTTCATGACAGGTGGCAACGATATTTTGAAAGCAGTCCTGAAAAAAAACATTAAAAAAGGAACTGTCAGATACACTGAATATACTTCCATACCCACCCCTGAAGCAAGAAGAAACACTTACTCGCATGTACTACAAATAGGACTGAAGTTGCAGAATACTGGAAAATAAAAGAATTGTCTTTCACTAAAACAGTTTATTAGCATGTAAGAAAACAGACTATTAAATATTTAGAAACTTACTTGACAAGCACACAGAGCACACGTAACCAATTTCAATAAGATTTCGATGACAGAAGCATGCAGCTCTGTAGTCAACATGAACGGGAGGTGGAAGGACAAGCTGTGATCTTTGCTCTTGATCAGGAAGAAATACCCACTGTGTGAATAGAGAAAAAATACTTTGTAAATTGGAATGGTACTGCTATATTACCTTGTCAATGAAATCAGTAAGATTTCACATCAGACACAGGAAAAACACTGAAGTGTTTTTTAAATGACTTACCAACAAATACTGCAGAAGCGATGGCATGTGGGGCACTTTCAAATATATGCCACCCGTAATGTCACAAGCCTGGAAAGCAGAGAGCATGATCAGACTGTTATGTTTTATGAGATTAACAGGATATTTTAAATATCCACACACTGCACAAGGCCTGCATGTTGGAACTGTCAGGTTCATTGAACCTACTTCCACACCCACAAAGGAAAGAATAGAGCTTAAGAACATGTCAACCTATCTAGCATCAAGTATCTATGAATTAATATAAAGAGTAAATAAGACTAGGAAGTCTGTACCTGCTGTAGAAGACCTGAGTCAGAGTCCAAGACACAGGCATCAATTAAAATATTCTGCAAGACGAGATGAAATGCATGAAAATCAAATTCAGCTCAGACCAATGTAGCCTCATCAGTGTTACTGTCATGGCCTGTTTCCGCTATAAATACACTCCACATATAAATGCATATGCTTTTACAGATGAAGGACCACTGCATCCATAGGGAAGCTCTTTCACTTGATCAGAACATAATCATAAGAGGAATGAACAATTTTGTTATATTTGCACATTAACAAAAGATATAAAAAAAAAATGCCAGCTTCACCTGTTTCTGTGCTGCAAAAACCACATTCATGAAATTCATATATTGCAATGCACTGTCTTCTGCTGCTTTTATGACCTAAATAAAACAATTCAAACTTGTTAGCCTACATAGTATCACCAGATTTCAAGACTAAAAGTAAACTTACAGCAAAAGTTCTTACCAAAATCCTTGATTTCATTTCTTGATTGGCTAAGTATTAAAAAGAAAAAGTAATACATGAGCATATTGTTTCTATTGCATGCAGTTTGCCTTTTTCCTTTTGTAGCATCTAACATCTCAGTTAGATATCTAACATCCAAGATGTTAGATCTAATGACTCACTTAAAATATGTATATGAAACTGTTTCACAGTCCCCGTCACAAGTATCTGTGGACTAATTCAGACCTATTATGAAAGTAGACCCATTTCATTTATTGTCCAGAAGCAGTTAGATGCTGATCAGGAAAGAAATGTTCAAAGCTGTACATTACCAACTCACTGGTTGAAACACTTATCTCAAGTTATATGGTATTTCTCACTGATTAAAGTAATCTGAAGTGCATAGCCGATTCTAGTCCAATATGCTCCTTGGAAAACTATTTGCACAAATAGCACTTTTCCCAAGTATAAAAGTGACAAGAGGAAGACCAAAACTGAGTAGGAAATTCATCTATCATCACAGTTATGAAGGTGGTCCCTTTGGAAGAGGCTTTGTGCATTTTATGACTTCCAAAAGATTCCTCTCAACCTCCAGTTGTTCTAAGGAGATTCCAGTTACAGTTTTACTCCTTTTACTTGCATGCAACACAAAATCAGAATAAGAATGTGGACTAATAGTCAAGTCCTTTACTTCTAATTGACACCCAGACCTGGTTTAAACTGGGCAGCTTCAAATGATCAGGATAAACCTGCACCTATAATTGCCAATTTTAGAAATGTGGCATGTCAAAACATACTTGTTTGTATGCACGCATGCATTTATATCTGTTATTCTCATTCAAATATTTATGTAAGTATTCAAAACAGGAGAAGGCGCATTACCTTTTACCTCTTTGCTCATCTTGTTGATAACTACATGAGCTGACATTAAGGAATCTACATTCTATTATTGAAAATAAATCCACATCATGTATTTGCCACCTTAGCCAACACACATTTTAATAAGCTTGACCTACAGTTATTAGGCAAACCTTTCAGTTTTGAGTATTATTACAGAACAGGTATAGTAAAAATTAATATTATAACAGTCTTAAATATACATAAAAACTTTGAAGATTCTGTGATCAAAAGGATACAGCACAGTGCTTTAGCAAGTGATCCTGCTAACAGAGTTTCTGTTTGCTGGCCCCTCACGTCAGCTGCAATACAAGGAAAGTTGCAAAAGTCACTTTTATATGCAAAAACACTTGCTGAACCTAATCATACTAAATACTACAAGTTTTTCCTTTGGCATATAATATTATTGCAGAAGTCTGAAGTGCCAAGCATAATAAACTCATCTACTTTAAACATATTAAAATTCACATGGTCAAAACACAGGAAATTCCTACAACTCCTCAAGAGTCCAAGTGTTTTGCAATTCTGCATATTAAGCCTACAATTTCATTTTCCTTACTTTTTGTCATGAGGTCTTTAATCTCTTCTGAAATTGCATCATTTACTGCTGTTAACAATTCATATTTTCCATCCTTGCTGCCAGACCAATTAGATTCCATGGGACTACCACCATCTCCAAAGAGATCTGCAAAAGCCCAACGTTTTCCAGGGTATAAGAAACGGCTGAAACAGAGGAAAAAAGTATTAATGTTTGTCTTTAACCTTGTAAGAAAAAATGCCATAAACTAATCAGCTGTAGATAGCTATACTCGGAAGTATAATTTCCAGTCATTTTAATACTTTAGACATTAAAGAGACTATATAAGGCAGGCAATCTTCAAACTCTAAATGGAGTAAAACTCACATTCATCTCTTTCCTTTCAAGACATCTCTTAAGGCAACTACCAAAGAGATACCATGTCTGCACTTAGAGGTAGATCCTGAGACTCACAAATATCTGGGGGGAAAATATCCACTAAACAGGAAACTTATGGCACTTGCATTGTCCTGCTCACCACATCTCTACCACCCTCTGCCTCCCTCTCTCCATATATTTTTTAGTAAAAGTCTGTATAAAACTCCCTTCTGTCTTACAAGCCTTTTTGTTGTTTTATGTAAGGCACTAAAACAGATTATTTCTTTCCTACACTGTTTTAGTTAATTTCTTTAAGACAATATGTTACACATTTTAAACGTTTCAATTCCATACTTCAATCCAACAAGAAAATCAGGAGACAAATATAAGAAAGTGCATTTTATACCTTTACTTAAGAAGTAATTATACCTTTCTTGCGTGTGACTTGCTATTACAGCAAGTCTGTTGGTACGATTCATAAATAAGTGTGAATTTCCCAGTACCATCACTGCATCAATGCATTTTGACAGGGTGAACTGTTGGAAAAAAAAAAAAAAAAAAAAGAAAAAAAAAAAGAAAGTAGATATTGCACAAAAACATTTACGGTTAAGTGATTTAAGAGAAATATCTCAAATAACTGCAGTTAAAAGATCTTGAATTTGAAGATGCAGAAGGAGCTTCCCGTCTTAATAGGAGGCATTTAGGAAAAAAGCTTTGACAGATACACAATGCTGGGTAGCTATTTTTATGGGAGTATTCTAATAAGCGTTATATCTGTTTTAGCAGACAATGCTAGCATAGTCCAGAAAGCAAAGACTAATCCCATCTGTTGCCTACTTACTAACACGTAAAAAAAAAATTATTTCCCTCAGAAATCAGCACCAGTAGCACCAACACCCAGAATACACACCTCGGCCTCTCCTAGCGCCTTCTTCCCCCACCAGATCGGGTTGGTGTCAATGACGACGACCAGCAGGCTCAGCTCATCATCTGAAAAGGCGACAGCAGAGCCGCGTCACTCCGAGCCCCGTGCGAAGCGCCGAGCAACACCGGCCCCGGAGCCCGCGGGCGCTTCAGGGGAGCCGCAGCCGGGCCGAGCCCGCGGCGGGAACGCGGGGAGGCGGCCGGCCGGGCGGAGCTGCCTTTAGGAGTCGCGGGAGACACATAGACGCGCCCCAGGGCCGCGCTCCCGGCCTCCAGAAGGCACCGGCACGCCGGAGCGGCCGCAGCCCGGCCTGAGGCCTCGCCGGCTGCTCCCCGAGCCCCCCCGCCGCCTCACCCGCGCTCATCGCGCCGGCCGCAGACAGCACCCGCTCCCGGCGCCTCTTGATGATGTCAAAGCACGGCTTGAACGTCATCCAGGCGGGGTCGCGTCACGCCCAGGCGAGGAGGAGGGCGGTGCTGCGGCTACGGCCATGAGCACGGAGGGTAAGGGGAGCGGGGGGCGGGCGGGGGGAGCGCCGGGCCGGGCCTGACGCGCCCCGTTGCTTTGCAGACTTGATCGAGACGTTCAGGGCTCAGCTGAGGGACGACCCCGATGTCGCCTCGGCCGTGGCCGCCATCCGTGCGCTGCTGGGTTTCCTCAAGAAGGACCGAGGTGGGCCCGGGTCCCCCCTCAGCCCCGGGGGGGCGGGATAGGAACCCCCCCCCGCTGCCCGGGGCTCCCCCCTGCCCAGCCCTGCCCTGAGCGCGCACCTCTGCCTCCTCGCAGGGGAGACCATCCAGGGCCTGCGGAGCAGCTTGCTGGCCGCCATCGACACCCTGTCTCGGGTGGACTCCTCGGTGGCCGTCTCCTCCGGCGGGGAGCTCTTCTTGCGCTTCATCAGCCTCACCTCCCTGGAGTACTCGGTAAGGGCGGCTGTGCCCCCCGCTCAGCCTGGTGCCGTCTGGGGGGCACCCTCCAGCTTCATCGCAGGCAGCGCTGTGTTTTCCAGGACTACTCCAAGTGCAAAGAAATCATGATCGAGCGCGGGGAGATCTTCCTGAGGAAAGTCTCTCTCTCTCGGAACAAAATCGCCAAGCTGTGTCATCCTTTCATCAGAGATGGTGCTGTAAGTAGGCCGAGGCAGGGTCACTCTTGTTCTCTCACTCTGATGCTTGCACTAATGGAAAAACAAGGGAAAGGGAGTGGAGTTTACTGACATTCACAACAGCATAGTCTGATGGTGGCTTCTGCAAGTACATTGGCATAATATCGCACATAGCTTCATTTTTTTTTTTATTACTCATCTCTCCGCTTCTTCAGTTTCCACATGGTCCAACTTTAACTTGTAGTCTGCTTCCAAGAGGTACAGAGAAGTCACAGCTTCAAGTTTCCATTTAAAATACTAGATCATCACCCCTTGGCTGCATAAGGGCTGGCCACGTAAAGTCCAGCTTACGGACAGGTTTGCTATCCTATGATTTCTAGAAAACAAGTAACATACACTGTTATTTAATGTTGATGGACAGTTGTGTGAAGTAAAAGCCATGACACCAAAGAAAAAGTTTCCTAAAGCTCAGCAAAAAGTAATGTCTGGTTATTTTTTTGTTTTGACAGCGAATATTGACACATGCCTACTCAAGAGTGGTCCTCAGAGTGTTAGAAGCAGCTGTTGAGTCAAAGAAGCGATTCAGTGTTTATGTTACTGAATCACAGCCAGATCAAGCAGGGTAGGTACTCAATAATTTGTGTTTTATCTTGGCTAACAGGGTATGTTACAGCTAGCATCAAAGCCGTCATACCTTAAGACAAGCTGCCAGGATTGTTTGCAGCATTTTAAATGGCAGCCATCGCTAACATCACATTATTTTGGACAAGTGAAAAAAAAATATTGGCAAGTAATTTCCCATACTAAATATTCTAATTACAGTGTTACCTAGGTTTTACTCAAAGGTTTCCAAACTTTCAGTCAGTGCCAGAAAACCTATGTTTCTGTTGAGAGATGGGAGAGAAATGATTTTCTAGTTGTCTGCTTCAAAAGTAGGCTAAAATAATCAGTATTATCTCAAGCATAGTAAAGTAAAACATTTAGCTAACAGCATTGTTTAAAGACGCTAAGTATATTACTGATAGCAAGGGAGAAGCTTTCCCACTTCAGTGCATACACTGTTGTGTAAGTAAAGTAACAAATCCTCCATACTGCATAATACGTGTTTCTAACCAGACTTTCACTAGAATCAAGGATGTTCAGTCAAGTACATACAATTTTTCAGCTTCACAGAAGTAACTTCTAGCCACTGAGTAACTTCTAGCAATGCATGCCATGCTTTTATTTCTTGTTTCTTACACCCTCTTGATGGAAAAGCTGAGACAGTTTAGGTAATCTGTCATCTTACTAATAGTTCACCGACTCATCTTTCTGTAGCTGTAATTCCTGACTGCTAAAGCAGACTTTACTTTTGTTGGGTTTGTTGTAATCTGTTTGATTCCATTTCTACACAAGAACTTGTTTTCTATTAGAGGGTACATCATAAACCAAAACTACAACCAAGGGAACATAGGCAGTCCTGGGTTTCAGTCTTTCACACAGTATTTTTCTAGCATTGTCTTTAAAGAAAAGAATTCTAAGCTTCAAACATGGTTTTCCTGATAGGCAAAAGATGGCAAAAGCCCTGAGGAAGCTCAACATTCCTGTGACTGTGATTCTGGATGCTGCAGTTGGGTAAGTCTGGTTCTTAATTCGTAGTATTTTTCATCACAATTTTATTTTGACAGCGTTACATATAAGTTTCCTAGAAGCTTGTCCCAACTGCAAAGGTTACTACTTAGTTTGTCATAGTCGTCAAACAAGCTGAACAAGTTACACATTTAGGTGCACAATTAGGAGAGTATGTCTGCTACAAAACAAGCATTTGATGCTTGCGTGAAAGAACGAAAAAAGGAGTCAGACCTAAGTGTAGAACTTGGGGATATCTGTTAGAAAGAACTGAGGTGCTGTGCAGAAAGGCTACTTTTTTCCTAATTTGCAGATGTGTTACTTTGGGGTTTATTAAGCTATTTGCAAAATTAGCACTGCTTAGTGTAAATCCAAACCCTGAGAAAAGGAAGAACTACAATACATCTGAACCTCAATTCTTGCATAAGCGCAAAATGAGAGACTGACTCCAAGAGCATGCTTACCAGTCTGCTTACCAAAGCACCTCCATCTAGGGATGGTTGTGGCTTGAGTGGACAGATCTACAAGCACAGTTTAACACCTTAAGTCTATTCAAATCACTTAGCTGATGGTTTTCTTTTTAGAACTGTATTTTCAATTAGCACAACACATTGAAGGAAATGTAAAGAAAAGGGGATTATATGAGGAGCATCCTATCTATTTGGCCAAGGTTATCGCAGTGCAGTTATACTTCACTGTGTAAATAGTATATTAGACACCCACGTTCCTGTAAGAGAGTATCATTCCTAGTCAGATTTCAACTTCTTCCACCATTTACACAATTGCCAAGGTCAGGTATAGCTGGAGAAATACGGTTATTTCATATTCCTGCCAGGGAAGCAGATGAAGCTCACGCCAAGGATGTGTAACAGCACGTAAGACTTACATAGGGAGATGAATCTAGTTCAGAAAAGCAAAAGACTGTTTGAATTACTAATTGCTGTTCTGTTCAGCAAGTCATTTGTCATATTACCCAGTAAGACTTGGATTTTTTTTCCCCCCCTTTGAACAGCTACATTATGGAAAAAGTGGACCTGGTGTTAGTTGGTGCTGAAGGTGTGGTTGAAAGCGGAGGCATTATTAACAAGGTAATAGGTAGTCAGTTTATTACATCATTCTGTAAACTCTAGACTTTTAAAGCTTGATTTCTTTGAAGAATTCAAGGCTTTCTGAAAAATCTTTTCTATTTGGACATTACCCAGTAAACGCCTATTTATTGTTGGAAACTGAGCAATATTATGTCACGCTAGCACTGAGTCTGCATGTTGTTCTCCATCTGTCTCCACAGATTGGCACTAACCAAATCGCTGTGTGTGCCAAAGCTCAGAATAAGCCATTTTATGTGGTAGCAGAAAGTTTCAAGTTTGTAAGACTTTTCCCTCTAAATCAGCAGGACGTCCCAGATAAGTTTAAGGTAAGAGAAACTCAAATTACTACTTAGCCAGCTAAGATGCACACTTACGTGTCTATGAAAAATTTTTGTCTAAGCGTGTCTTCATTTATCTGGATCTCTCTGCTGTAGCTTACTTTACATAATATGGAGTTGTTCCATGTTACAGCCACATGCCAAACAGCCACAATTTGTCTTAGTACTAACATTTAGTTCCTAAAGCAGTTCCTTTGGGGTGCAAGAACAGCTGAGGGCAAGAAACAGTTAAATAAATATACTTCAGAACTACAAATTGTACTTAATACACAAGCTAAAACAGCTGAGGCCAAGGTGGCACCAGCCTATGCCTCATTTTAAAGCAACTGACTTCCTTCAGTTTTACCACAAACATCTGCTCGCGACTGTATTACAGCTCTTTCCCAGAAGATGTTTTAACTTGCAGTTGTATAATAGCTAATGCTCTGTTTCCTTCTAGTACAAAGCAGACACTCTGAAAACAAGTCAGAATCTAACAGAGGAGCATCCCTGGATTGATTACACATCACCATCGCTAATTACATTACTGTTTACAGACCTCGGTGTATTAACTCCATCAGCTGTCAGTGATGAACTTATTAAACTCTATCTGTAACAGAGGACTCAGTGTACAGGATGTATCATCTTCTTCAGTGACTACCACAGTTCTAAGAATTGGAAGATGAGACAAGCTATATGGATGTGAGAATTATATTAATCCTTATAATGTCATCTCCTTATCAGCCTTCTTGAGTTTTTAAAGCAAAACATTACAGGTGGATGGACAACTGTTAAAAAAAAAAAAAAAATCCAAAAGTTACTACAGCTTCTAAAGACCTAAAATAAATTATTTTAAAGATGGATGGAGTATTTTGATATAGTAAAATAAAATACTTTATGGTATATTCAAACTCAGTCTTAGCTATGCTGTTAGTTACTGATCTGTGGTACGTACCTGAAATAAAAACTTAAAAACGCACAAGGCTGCTAATGGAAATCTCCAGCTCCTGCCACATTACACGAGTGATGCTTTTAGCTGTGTGCTTAACTGCAGGCTTGTTTGTATGTCGTTATGGACACTAGGTCTCTTTATGAAGACATTAGATCAATTCTGTACTCTGCATTATTATTTTGTTATAAAAATACAGTTTTATTGAAATTGGCAGTATTTTAACATAAAAGTGAGTTTAGAATATCTGTCAGCCTTCAGACTCTAAGTCAGCAACAGTTTCTGCTTTGAGTCGACTCTGGCTGCCTGTTAGTCTCTTCTCAAACTCTTCTTCACTAATTTTTCCCTTTTTTAATCTTTTCAAGAGTCTTGTGTCATTCAGTAACTCTTCCATATCATCATCTTCAATATCAGAGCCCTGTTGGCAATGGAAAAACAACAAATTAAACACACCACTAAAAGGTTTTCATTCTATACAGCTGAACGCAAGAGAAGATTACAACTCGGATTTTGCCAGGAGTATCAAAGCAGGAAATGATACTCAATTTCTACCTAGGAAACTATCTAACTCTCAGTTACATTTGTTGAGAATTGACAAAAACAAAGGGAAAAAAAAAAAAAAAAAAGAAGCATTATTGACTAGCATCAGAGTGCCGAGAAGTTGTTTTCGTGTTTGGCTTTAAAAAGCTTCTCTATAATTCTTAGCTTTGCCTGTCAAGGTCCCAAAATATTAATTTACAGCCATCAATTCCATCCAACTAAAATTCCGTGGCACTCTGCCATTTGAAAGTATGTACCTCTGCTACAGTAATCACACGCAGTTTGATGGAATGGGCACAGTTTACCTCTTCACGCTTCCTTTTAGCTGTTATTTTCTTTTTCTTCTCCCTCTTGGCTTTCTGCTTTGACCAGGCTTTGTTCTTTATGAATTTCTTTTTCCCTTCATTTTCCTGCCTTTCTTTTCGTTGTTCTAATTGCTTTTGTCTCTGTTTTTCTCTATTTTTATCCTTAAACGAAATGGAGTCTGTATTAACAGTGACCGGGGTAAAGTCTGGAAAACATTTTCCTCTTAGTTCAGGCATCTTTGGCATTTTTAACAGTGCAAAACCTTTGGCAAGACTAGCAAAATCCAGATCTGTTAAAATAAAGATTATAAAGTCACTTTCCTGCTAGATACAAAGTTAATTTAACTTAGCAAGTCACAGAAAAAACCCCAAACATTATCTTATTGTATTGTTTGCATTCTATACTTAATAGCAGTAACAATACTAAGTCACTTTTATTTATGCTTACATCAGTTTGGTCAAACCTGCTAATTAAATGTTTTCTTTTGAAAACAATGAGAAACAAGTTGCTTGAAAACATGAGTTTTGTCAGAATCTGACGCTGCAGAAAATAAATTTGAGATCAGGAACCAGTATTTGAAGCTTGTGGATAACAACACTATGCCTCCTCCCAAACCAAATATTTTCTTCTGAAAAGAACAGTAAAAGATATGAGCCCCTGCTGGGAATTACCTTTTATTCGGAAGATGAGATTACATTCATGTTTGGCATAAGCCTGGACGTAAGACACAAATGCCTTCATCCCTTTCTCAAACACTGCCCTGTCAGCTAGGGCCATAGACTTCAGTTTTGGAAGAAGATCTAACACATTTGTCTGTGGTTTCATTTCCTGCATGGGACACTGAAAACCAGAAAAGAAATACAAAACCAAAAGGAGAAGTTCAGCCGAATGATTTAAAATGCACTGTGAAACTTCACACGCTTCTTCCCCAGTTAATCTTCAGTCAGCTTTGAGCCCATTGCCCACTTCTACTTGGTCATTTCAACTGTGCTTGAAATGCGCCATTCAGCTCCCCCCACAGCCCTATCCCAGCAGAAGAGTTTGCACACTGCAGCTCCAGAGAGGCAACATCTTCATCTCGTGCCTTACGTGCTCATTAGCAGGCCTCTAGAGAATTTATACAATTAATCCTGCAAATGCAGGACTGGGCATGGAAAATTACCAGAGTTTAAAATAAAGAGCACAGAGGTTGCAACTGGTGGTGGCAGGGTTGGGGGTAGGAGTATAAACCAGCACTGACCTTCTGGAAATGTTCAGTCTACACACCCTTAGAAACAAAAAGCCCTTCTGTACTCAATGCATCACATATTCCTATTACAAACTCAGTAGATAACACTGGGAGCAAGCGTGTTCTAACCATTAGTTGCAATTGGTGATTAACAAGCAGTTCTTGTCTTTTTTTAATTGTGCATCTCCACTAAAACATTACCCATGCATACGGCCTGAAGTTCTACAAATTCTGATTTTAAAACTCCTGTCAGTAAGACTGCTGCCTGGCTCTTTCCTGCCTTGAGGCAGAATAAATGTCTACTAACCTTTTGGTTGATTGAGAGAAAGTTAATGTAAGATTCTTCCATGGGAAGCAAAAATACAAGTGCGCTGCCTGCATTGCCGATCCGTGCTGTCCGACCACACCGATGCACAAAGGCACTGAAACAACACAACACAGACCTGACTTAACGGGAGATGCTCAGTCAGATTTTGAAGTATCAGACTGGCAGCAAAAGGGCAAATCTTGTGGAATTGAAAGTATAGAGTGCTAGGTACTTTTGAACTAAACGAACAGGCATTAGTAAAAAGCAATACAAGCAATATGAAGCAGTCCCACCCGATTGTTAGGACTGTATGCTAAAACAAGGAGTATCTGTTTTGGGGGTGAGGTTTAAGTGAGTTGTAGGAAAAATTACAACAACAGAAGTTAAAATACATGGAAAAGTGCCTTTCATGTGAGCTTTCAATGTACCATTCCTTGAGGAGCTCTATCTCTGCTCTCATCTCTGCTCTTGATCACCTTAGCATGTCACCTCTCATTATTTCTTTGATATTCTCATACTATGTCTTACACCAGAGTGCCTCTTCACACAAATACAAGTGGCAACCATCCATCTGACTTACGCACATACAATATAAAGTCATTTCAATTCACAGCAGCCAACAAAAATTGCAGCGTTTCAATTGTTCCTGCATTATTTTGTGTGTTCACTCAGACTAACTTCTGGGCAGTGATTAAATGTGTTTTCCACAGTTGCACATTCACAATTTGTATCAAAACAGTACAGTACCACGACCACAAGTATAGTAAAGGTTCTTAAGATCTGAAGTTGTACCTTGCACTGCTAGGTGGGTCATACTGCAAAACCCAGTGTACTTCTGGAATGTCTATGCCACGGGCCATCACATCAGTGCAAACTAAAATGCCACTAGAAAGAAGAAAAAGCGCATTTTCATTAAACTGTCATTTGAGAAGAGCCACTCTCCCCCAGCTGTGTACTCTGCAGCTACACTGGAGAATGAGGAACAAAACATTTTAAAACACCTGTTTTTTGAAAAGAGACAAAATATAAGGTAGTTGCAGCTTTCACCAACTAAAATTCTACACATTATGAAAAGCAGTGTGGCTTACATCACCAAGAAAACTCAATTCCCTATTACAAGTTCTATTTTAAAATCACCATTGCATCTACCACAGCTGAATGTAATACTATAAGCATTTAGATAAAAGACTTAAGAGACTGACAATTTTAGCATGCTATTTTAAACAGTTGTTCTTCCAGTCTGCTGGTAATTATTTTTCTTATGATATAAAATACTAAAACTCAGGTTCCATGCAGTAAAAAAATGACAGCTAATGAGGCAAGAGTCTAAGAACATCCCGCAAAGCTGACAAAGAATACTTTTCTGCAGGTAAATTACAGCATTGTGTTGTCATACTCTTCTTCGTACACTAATAAAATAGTACCCTGGATTTCCACTCTGATTACCAAGCAGGAAAAGGTTATCTTCACTAGCAGTTCCTTATCAACAACACATTTAAACAGCAAGGCTCATGTGTGGTTGCAGCCCGTGGTGGTACAGTGTGCCCAGTTAAACCAGAAGCGCAGACAGTAGCAGCAGGGATGGGCTCCGTACGTTTGGCCAGTGAGCAGCACAAACTGCAGAGTCCCAAGCTGCAGGATATCCTCAATCCCTGTCCCTGCACCTTCCATGCTGCCACATGGATTGTCTGAATTAAGCTGGACTCACTCCAGTCACATTTTCACTTTGTTTGTGATCATATTTTGAATACCTAAGCATAGTTTGTGTTATTATAAATACATTCAGAACCAGCTGGTAGCATCCTTCTCCTCAGCACAACACCACTCTTCTGCACTTACGTGGCATAAGAATACCGTCAGACAAAATTACATACCCCTTACTATTTTTACTTTTGGCTGGCTTAGTCTGTTCATATGTTCTTACCCTGGGAGCTTCCGAAACTCAGTAAAAATCTTGTTACGCTTGTGTTTCATTTTCCCATGAATGCTCATTATTTTCACTTGTTTAATTAAAGATTCCAAAGCCTTCCCATAGTATTCCACACAGGCACACGTGCTGTTGTGATAAAGACAAACATAAAGCAAAAGATTATGCTGCACTTTTAATCTGGTTTAGACAGTCAAGCTAGAGTGGTCTGAGACCTTTCAAAAGTATACACTATTGCCTATTTTTATTTAACATATGTACATAATTTTAATAATTAACATATAATAATCTATAATGCCTTACTTTAAAAATGCATATAAAATCTATGTTTTGCTTAATAAAGTTCAACACAATCCTGACATGAAGCAATGATCAATCTCTTTTTAGGCACCATATTCTACAAGACAGTTATTAAAATGAATCACTATTAAAACAGCTGTGTCCTTGTCAACACAGAGGGCACAGTTTTGGAATTTAAGTAATAAAACATCATACTGTTTTCACAATGAAGCACAAACAGGATTACCTGAAAAAGACTAGATGTTTTTCCTGTTTGTGCTGTTGGAGAAAATGCACCAACTGATTAAATTTTTCATCTGCTTTGCAGATCTATACAATACAAAAGAAAAAGAAAGAAGTAAGAAAATGGACTCGATACAAAGTGATCTGCCGGTTTCCTTCATTCATTGTGCACTGATAAACACCCATGGGCATCATTTCTTAACACCGATCATCTGTACCACAGTTCATCATGTGGAGTATTACTCTTTTATGTATCTTGCTTTAAGTAAAAACTTAAGCTCCCAGTCTTCCCATCCCCAGCCACAATAACTCTCCTGCAGTAGTATCTCAAGTATCCCTCAGACACTTTGCTGAAATTGCCAGTGTCTCCTCCCATACTCATTCAGTATAAGCAGGTCAAGGAGCTACAGCGCTGTAGCTAATTTAGGTTACAACAACTCCTGGCCAGCCAAACAAAACTCAGAGCAGGAAACAACAGGGTTGCTAATTCAGATCTTTCTCCTTAGCTTGGCTACTGACCTTTCGAGAACCTGCAAAAGCTCTATGTCTTTGAGACTTTCAGTTCCTCCATTAATGTGATCCTAACTGGCCAAGACTTAAAAACATATTGATAGAACCAGGAAAAAACAAGAAACTATCATGAAGCACAGAGTATTCGCACCATGTAATAGTTCTCCAGGCGTGTTGGAGTTTTCTGCATGTTGCTTGCTGCCACTCCCTTCTCTTTCACCGAGATGCGGACAGGATTCCGGAGACCTGCTCTCACCAGGTTCTCCACTTCTTGAGTTTGAGTTGCTGAAAACAGACCTGTCCGTCTCTGCTTGGGCAAAAAGTCCAGAATCGCATTTAAACTGCAAGTAAGCACATGTAAAACATAACTGTCTCAAAACTTACCTCAGAAAGGAGTTTAATCACTAGACGTAAGAATTTACAAACAAAATAGTTTTTATTATCAAGTGACAATCTTCTCTTGAACTAATTATCTTAACTCTGAGAGAAAGGGACATCAAAGCTTATTTGTTGAATTATTTTAAGCCATTCTGATGTGTAAATGACTTAAGCATTAATATAGCATGTACTAATATACATCAGAAAAAAAGAAATTTTAAACTCTATTCATCAAGGATCCACTCTTTCCTGATTCTCTTCCCCTTAGCAATTCCTCTGTATAGCATATGGAGCAAAGATTGATAAAGGAACAAAACAGAACAAATCTAACTTTAGAAGTCATCATAGGCCATGCTCATTCACATCAATTATATATGATCTAATTTAAAACTTCAGAAGTATTACTAGAACTTATTATTTAAATACCTTGCTTCAAAGCCCATATCTAGAAGTCTGTCTGCTTCATCTAATACCAACACATCAAGAGACTTCACAGAACTTGCTAGATCCACCCCATCTGCTTTTCTTCTGAACAGATCCTCCAAGCGACCGGGTGTAGCTACAATGATGTTCCCACTGTTTGTGAACAAGACACACAGCAATGTTGTAACTGTGCAAGGTAGGGACTTTGTTGTGATACTAACGTTACCAGCTCCCCCACAAACCTGCACGCAAATTGACTGAATTCTTCAATAAAACAATTTAATTTTGTCACTTCTGTCTTCATATTTCAATGCCTTTCAGACATTGTGTTGATGGAAGAAAAACACTTAATTGAAAGCACACCATTTGTGGTAACAAAAGTTTAGAATACAATCAACAGCTATGGAAAGCAACTATCAGCTAGAAGAAATATTTGGTACCTTCATGCAAAAGCCAGTGGCAAATACAATTGCTTCAAGACTTCATCATCAATATCAGCACCAGTTTCAGAAAATTATTCATCAGCACAGTCTCAATCTCACTAGATCCTACTGACAGTACAAAATTTACAAGAAAGAAGGAACTGAAATATTCAGTGAAGACAGTTTTCATGATGCACACTGTTCTTCACCCAGACAACATGTAAATGGCGCTCACTTCACATATGACCCTTCCCTATTGTCTCGTTATGGTGTATCTCACTCAAGGGAAAGAGTACACGATCTCCTCAGCACACACCCAAACATACTCCTGCAGTACCATCAAATTTTAGCACCAGCAGGACCAAAGTCCTAATTTGAAAACACGTAAGGATGAGGAAAAAACCACTGCTGCAATGCATTGATAATAATTATTGACAATCAACTCACCCATGTTCTTTAAACTTTTCAACATCTTCCATGGGATTCCTACCACCAATTAAAAGAATCTGACTAAAACAATAAAACAAGAAGATTTAGGTCATCTTTAAGTTTTGCTAGTTTACAAATGACAGAAGTGCAAAGAAAGAGGAACTGTGGCCATGATGAGCCTGAAGTTTACTCACCTAAACCTGGGGAAGTGTTTTGTGAAATGTGATAGCACCTCATCAATTTGAATAGCTAACTCTCTCGTTGGTGTGATAATTATAGCTCCAACCTGCACATGAAAAAATAAAAGGAATTTGTAGAAAATGACACACTAGAAGATTTGGGCAAAATTTTCTCTTACAAACTAAGCAAATGAGAGCTGTTTATGATCGTAGTTTTAGACAAAACATTTCTGTAGAAATACAATAAAGTATACAAAATAACAGAAAATATCTCTGAAAGAGTTATTACACCAATGTGCAAAATACATCTGCTCAAAGAGCAGTATCTAATAATGGTATTTAATAGCAAATAACAGTGCAAGTTCTCTGCACACTATAATGAACTCAAAGTCAGTGGATGCTAAAAAGCATTCAAAGACTCACATGCAGTACATCATTGTATCTGAAATTTTATGGCATTTTTCTAACAGCTCAGAAACCTGTTTTCATCATGTCAAAGAAGAAACAGTATCTAAGTGCAAAGAAAGAACCCCAATATTTATTTCAAAGTTTTAAACAGCTTATTGTTCCTTTTATTCCAAAGAGCTGAGCACAACGTCACTTTATGTGTATACAATTTTTTTTAATGGTACTTTTCCTGAAGTCCTCAAAACTCATTGGCAAATCATAAAAATATAGTCAGAATTGAGTAACTTAATCTTACCTGCATTTTCTTTAATTTTTCTTCCCGTCTGAGAAGAATTTCCAGAATGGGAATTACAAATGCTAAGGTTTTGCCACTGCCTGTTACCTGTGAGAAGGGAAACAGCGTCAGCCCTCTCTCACAAACCCCGAAAAACAACGCACTCCACCAAGAAAAACCACTCACCGCTTCTGCGGCAACGTCTTTGTTATTCATGAAGAGTGGAATGGTCGCAGACTGGAAAAAAAAAAAAAAAAGGATGCCACGAACAGATGAGCTGGCTCTGGCGGAATTAAATCTCACAGAGGCTAAAACCCCACATCAGAGCTCCCTGGGAAGGTTACCCAAGCAGAGCCAGTGCTGGGAAGGCCGGGGGCTGCCCTAGAGCCCCGTGAGCGCTCTGACCTGCGGCCGAGCCCACCGCCAGCGCCCAGAAGGGACCGCCCGGCCCGGGTGCTGCTGCCACCGCCCGCCCCCTCCTCCCGGGACAGCCGCGGGGCTGGGGCCGCCGGGGAGCGGTCCCTCACCTGAACCGGCGTCATGCGGGCGAAGCCGAGGTCCCGCAGCGCCCGCAGCACGCCCGGACTCAGCGCCACGGGCAGCGACTCCCAGCCCGCCTCGGTCACAGCCTCCATGTTCGCCCTGTCCCGCCGCCCGACCTCTTCCCCCGCGCTCCCGGGGCGCGGCCGCAAGGAAACGCGAACCGCGGCCCTTCGGTTCCGCCCGCGCCGCTTCGGTTCCGGCCGCCGCCACCCCGCGGGGCTTCGCCGCCCCGAGAGAAGGCGGTAGTAACCCCCCACCCTTCGCTGAGACAACAAATAAATAAATAAATAAATAAATCCTAATTTTATGGAAGTCAGTCATCCCTTAGCACTGTGACACCCCAACTGCCCGGCCTTCAGTAGCAAGGTTTAGAATTACCTGCAATTTCTTCTACCTAAGAAATACTATATTCTATCCTAAGAAATACTTTATCAAAAAGCTTTGTGTTAAACTGTACTTCCTTAAAGTATCAAATAAAAAAAGAATCAATACAAAGATGTTGGGATTTGGTTTTTTTTTTTTTTTTTTAAAGAATTTGTTTATTTATCGAACCTGGGTCATATTTAGATTCACAAGCAATTTTTAAATGTACATCTTAGAATTCAATTTTAAGTGTTTTACACAAAAATATTGGCACACAACAGTTGCAGTAAGGTGTAACAGCCACCTTTCTGAAGAACTGCTGCAAGTGTTTACCCAAGGTTGAAAAAACTTTACCTGGAACATGAAAACCTGTAACAAATTTTAAATTAATTGTACAAAACTGTTGTGTGTTACTTGTAGAGGCTCCCCCCTGGAAAAGACCCCACCCCTCCCCCAAAATGATTACAACTAATATACATCAGTCACAACATAATCCTGGCTCAGCACCCACATCAGACGCTTCTTTAATTTTTAAACCAATCATCAAATACCGAGGAAAGTAACTTTATACAAAACCAAATCTACATGTGCCTGAAAACAAAAACACACCGGTATTTAGCATTATGCTAATTATGATCAGATAATGGCAGAGACTGCCGCTTAACTTAAATACAAGGGCTGCATAGCATGGCAATAAACCCCCAGAATCATTAACCCTTTGGCAACAGGAATCCAGATTTCCTGAACACTAATGCATTCTGCGATAGTGCCAACAGTCTGAGCTTTGGACCTGCAAAAACCAAAGGGTTAACTATTGTTTGCCAAGACACTGCACACAATTGGCTTCAATATAAAACCTGTGAAAGACCGAAAACCATACAATGAACATTTGGTAAGAAGAGAAGGAAAACATGTTTTCGTATCAACTACTTAATTTAAAAGAACTTTGGGAATAAGTTGATGTAATTAGATAGTTACTGAAGACTTTCTTTTAAATAGCAACTAGGTACGAATACTAGACTGGAAGTTGTCAGCTGTCTTCTATTCCTCATCAGAATAAAGTTCCAATTGCTTCTCCTTGGCAGTTTATGTAAGTGAAGAAAGGATTATTTCAATTTCATAACACCTACTGCAGGGTTAAAGATGTCAGAAATGCAAGCAGTCATGTTAGGGCCTTGTACCGTTTCCCTAGATAGAACTGCAAGTACTTATGAAAACAGGGGGAGGGAAAAAAAGTTAGAAAAGACATCAACATTGCTTGTTACTACAGTTGAATTACAGCATTTGCAGCTTGCTTGGACCTTGCTTAGCATACAGACTAGGCAGATTTAAGTTAAAAAAAATATGCCAATTAAGTGACGAGATTTCAGCACAGCTTTTGCTACAGAAGATATATAAAAACAATTCATTTTTAACTAGGAAGGAATATAAGCAAATAAATTTTACAGTTCAGTAAAGAGGGTTCAGAAACTAAATGACTTTTTTTGTGACCAGGATGTTTGGTAGACAGTGAACTGAAATCCGGGACCAGAAAAGTACTCTTAAACAACCCTTCGGACTTCAAAAAACCTCTTCAGATAGTAGATTTGTCCCAGTGTCATGGCAACTAGTACAAGAGCTTCAAAGAATGACCAAAGAACCACTCTGCTGTTTGTGTTGTCATTAACTGTTGGGGGGGAAAAAAACAAAACAAAACAAAACAACAGTAGTAAGTAACAAAGCATTTAAAAACAAACTTAAAACACACTCTGTCATTGGAACCAAAGTACTGCACATAGATCACTGGCATTTGTGTCACACCATCACAAGTGTCCCAGAAGGACTCTGCAGTCTTAGAGATGAGATCTGAGAGCTGAGGGGGGGGTATTTTCCTGAACTGCTTGAACTGTGATATGCAAGCTGATGTTTTAACCTCAACTTTAGACGTACACTGCAGCATCTTTCTCTATTTTGCCCACCTTCAAAGAGCCCAGGCAGAAACTTATAACTGCCAAACAGAAGCCACTTGCTTTTTCAAGTAACAGTTGATTATTACAGTCTCAAAGTCAAATGGGGAATTTCTGATCTCTAAAGGTTCATCATCTTGAAAATCATAAAACTGGAGATATCCATAGGTTCAAAAAGTTGAGGGACCAGTGCTTTAATACAATGCTGCATTTTCACAATAAAAAAATTTGCCCTTTTTTCTTACTGGACCTCCCCTAATGCACCACTTAGTGCACTCAGTCACACTTTAAAGCTGTATTTCAGAAAGTGAGGGTTGTCACTGGAGAGTTAACCATATTCTCTAATTGAAAATAACAGCATTCTGCTTTATTTCAATTAAATATTTTAAAAATACTTTGGCTCATCTGCTAAGCCACACCCACTTCAAGGATGAAGTAATTGTTCAAGTTAAGTATGCCCCTGGAAACCATATCGTTACCGGTATCTTCATGAATATGCCATTCAAAGAACTATAGAATTCACACCAATTAAGTAAAGATTATTTTGCATAACAATCTTCATTACACAAGAGGCAAGCCAATTTAAAGAAGATTGCAAGCATCAACTATATCCTTTATTGTATGGGCAGATTCTTCAGAACTTGTTCTGAAAATTTTTTTTAGTAACTTGGAATAGCTTTCATGGACTTGTATTTTAAATCACATTCTGTAAGTTCATCTGAGGGGGAGAAGGCATTTAAGTCAAAGACACATACTTGCTCTATGTATTCTTTCACGAACTTCCATGTACTCCTGTTCATGCTTTACAGCTGTCATGGCCACTGCTAATTCATTAATCATCTCTTCTAGCTTGTTCTGATGAGCTGCGGAATAATTTCAGAAGCATCAGAAAGTCTGTTATTAACTCAAAAAAACCATTTGTTAAAATTTATGAACAGTTATACTTAATTTCCTGTTGCAGAAGAAGTTCTGAAAAATGCAGTCTGTACAGCTGAAAACTTTCTACCCTTACAGCAAAGTAAAGTTTAGTTTTCATAGTGCCATTTTTCCTAACACATCTCTATGGTATGTAATAAGTGGTAGAACATCTTTCTCCACATCTGACTAGAAGGCAGAAGACACACAATTTAGAGTCAGTACAGACCACTTATTTTCAATATGGGCATATTTTTCCAGAAAAATAGAATGTAAGAAACACATGAGATCAATACCACACACTAGTATCTATCTTGCCAATATCGTCCAATATATTCCAAGCAAATTATCTTAACATTACAGCTTTTCCTAGTTGTTAAGCTTGCAAAAATAGAACGACTGAGAATTTAGCTTAAGATCATGATGCTGGCAAAACGAGATCACTTTCTGAAGCAACATATCAATTCTTGTGATCTTCCAGTTTAGCTGAAGCATAGCATTCAGCAGAAACAATGCCAAAGGGGCCTGGCAGAGGGCAAGAACCGGCTTCAGGTTCTGGTATGTCATGAAAGCAGAAGAGGAAAATACCAAACCAATAAGAACAGAAAACTAGCTTGAGATACTTCAGCAAATGGAAGGATCAGAGATCTAAGATTTAGTGATTTGTCCGTCAATCACAGGATCTTTTAAATACATTCATGCTCAAAGAACTGTCCACTTACAAATTTATAAATTACGCAAATCATTTTCAAAGTTTTCTAGCACTAAGAGAAGTTTAAGATATCATTCCACAGACACACCCTGGGCAACCAGCTCTCTTAAAAAAAAAGTCACAAAACCAACACATTTTCCATTGACGGGACATATTTGACTTTGAAGCTACCTTGTCACATTTTTATTTATAAATTAAGTGTTTCAGATCACAATCTGAAAATAAAGCTATTCAAAACACACATCTTACAGGGAACAATCAAAAAGAGGACCAGAGAATAACATTCATACAAGTTACAATTAAAATCTAGTCGTGTAAACCACACTCACTTTGCTAATATCAGAAATCCCTTATTTTCATGGCCAACTAGTCACTGCAATAAGCGCAGTCTACTATGAAGAGAAGAAATTACAGTTGCAGGGATTGTTTAAAGGCACTCCAAAAAAAGTACACTCCAGAAAAAAATGCTTGCCTCAAAAATGTAAAGCTGAACTAATATTTACAACAGATATATTCAGACTCAATAAAAGATTTAGCTGAGTCTTTTTAAAAAATCTAAAGTTAGAAATTTGTTACTTTCCAAGTGATATCAAGCACACAATGCACACTGTTATTTACTTGCTAAAACAGAAAACAAGAATTTATTGCCTTTCTAGCTACAGTTAATGATTTCTAAATAAAACTTTGGAAGTTGTTACCCAATGCATTCATTTATTTCTTTTCAGGTAAATGACAAGTTTGAAGTTTTCCCCCTTGTAACATCACTGATAATTCATAACCTAAAAGGAGCTTATGGCTTCCAAAAGCCCTTGGTTACTCAACACCCACTTTAGCAATAGAAAGCATACACCATCTAAAATATCCAATGTTCTTGGATGTTCAATGTTTTAGTTTAATTTCACCTCAAACTCCTGATTAAGTCTTCTGTTAGCCAGAAGTAACCACCTGAAAACAAACTGTCACGGACAGTTCAAGGACCTGATCCCAAGAGCTGCTAAGTATATAAACCTTTCGATGGAAGCTTGCAGGTGCTCAGCATTGCTCAGAATCAGACCTTTTATGTAGTTTATTAAAAAGACATTCTCATGCTACAAACAAATGTTACAGAGAAAAAGCATACGTTAGCTGTTAGTGAATAAACATATGCAAAAGACAAGATGCTAACGAGCTTTCAAAAAGCAGTACACATACCATCCCAGGTATCTCCACCACCTAGAGAAAAGTGTAAGAGATGAACACAAGTACAGGACAAAAGGCTGCAGATAAAACAGTAATTTACACAGCTAAGAGAAAATTTTTATATTAGCACATTTATCAAAGAGCTCAACTAATGCACGTAGTAGTCTACATACTGCTGAGCAAACTAGAAATCAGAGAATTAAACTGATGAAAAGACTAAAGGATGAAAGCATTAGTTCCTGCAGATGGCCAAGTGATTCCCTGGTGATTCTGCATTAAAGTGTGTAATGGGGTCTAAAAACATCCATATCCATTTTAGCTGTGCAAGAGAACAGCTAACTAGACAGCCTGAAGAAACAGGAATTCTGAGAATCCTAGTCAAGTTCAGAAGTCATGCATGCAGGGAAAAGCTCCCAAGCTGGGGCTTATTTCTTTCCAGGAGTCTTCCTCACCTTCTGTCTCCATGTCTTGCCCCTTTGGAGCTTCCCCGATATCAATAGTGAACATCACTATCTTGGGAGTCATGGTGGACATTCTGTTGCTAAAGCAAAACTTGTAAGTTCCATCCATGTGGGCAGCAAACGTGTATTTTCCACTGGACTCTCGATCGCCTTTATAAATTCCTTTATTATCAGGCCCTGTAATCTGGATGGGGAAAACAAAATATCATACATTTTATTTAAAATACTGTGGTTTTAAATACACCATTACAGCTCTACATACATATTCTGGAGTTATCCAGTCAGATTTAACAATAACCGGTCAGATTACAGATGTTCAGCATTCTTCATACTTTCCCTCCCACTATTCAAAAGCAGCGATACATTTTTCTGCACAGAAATAAGAAGCAAACAAACCAACCAACCCAAAAAACTTATTGGTAAAGAAAGTCACAGAAAAGCCTCTCTTACTGGCCAAGATTGCTGGCCTTCCATACTCAAGATAAGAAGCGTTCAAGAACGAGTAAACCATAAACTATTGACAGCCCTGGCTGTTAGCCAATTAACAACTGCAGGGAAAACCTTATCTCTGATGTTTGAAAGAAAACAAAAAAGGAAAAAATACCTTCTCCCGTAACTCAATACTACTTCAGACACACAGTTGTGCATTGTTGCAGTGGCCATTTCAAATGGACTAAAGGCCTGAGTACTGAGCGCTCAGGGTCACTGTAATCTTAAGACTTCTACCCCACCGGGTCACCAAAGGCTGCGGCTGAGCTTCCACTAGTGGCATCTGAATGGGATTCCACAGCTTCCTGACTCTGCCCTGTATTAGGGCGATGTGTTACTTCAAACTATTACATTCACTCTCAGCAGCAACTCTCCTGTGTTTAAGTTATCCCCAACTGACAACTTTCTGCTCTTTACGGAGATGAAAGGAATTATTTATTCTTCTCCTACTGACTGGATGCCTCATTGAAGAAAAGGATTTACCTAGAAAGTTTCAAGATGGCAATCAACCCAATTAAAGCCAACACCTTTTGAATCGAGGGGAAACCCAGCTCCCAGAATAAGCAACATGGTTTTGTAAGGAGCAAACCTGTTCGTTATTCCCGCTGAATGGTTTATGATGACAAAACCATACTGAACTGCACAACTATGAAAACCTCAAGAGGACAGCTTCGAAAACGAGAAGACTGCCTTCTGCAGCAATAGCAGAAACGGCAAGCAGCCGTAGAAACCACAACCCCGAGGAGAGGCACCGCGTCCTCTCCGCGATCACCCACGACACCACGCGAGGCCGGATCCCGCCGGGCACGGAACCCTCGCGCCCAGCAGCCCCACGACGAGGCGGGACCGTCGCAAAGTTGCCAAAGCCCCCTCAAGCCAATGTTTGCCCCCTTCGGTCGCCGCCACCGCCGCCCTCCCGGGCGCTGCCCCGACCCGCCGCGGCCTCCCCACCCCCGCACACGGTGGGGGCCGAGCGCGCAGGGCCCAGCGGCGGCGGGACACGGCCCAAACGCCCTCCCCTCAGCACGGCACCGGCCACCGCGCCGCCCCCCTCACCTCCACGTCGATGTCCAGGAAGCCCCCCTCCGCCACCTCGAAGATGAGCCCCATCTTCGTGCCGGACGGCACCCGCTCCAGGAAGCATTCCTCGGCGTGCGCGTCGATGCTGACGAAGTAGGCGGCAGCCGGGGCCGCCAGCGCGGCCAGCAGCGCCAGCACCGCCCGCACCGGCGACATGGCGGAGCCCAGCGGGAGGGGGCACCGAACGGCGGGCCAGCAGCCAGAGGGGAGGGGGGACTTCCGCCCGGCGCCACGCCCCTTCCGGGGCACGGGGCCGCCGCTCATAGGCCGGCACAGCAGCGCTGCCACGTACCGCCCGCGCTACGGCGGCCGCGAGGGGACCGGCCGCAACGGGACCGTCTGAAGGCTGAGGCAGGGACCCGCGCGGCGCGGGAGGCGGGGCCGGCGCAGCGGAGAAGCCAATGAGCAGCGAGCGGGGGGCAGAGCCGCGGCGGCGGGGAGCCAATCGGAACGGGGCGCGGAGAGTGGGCCTGTCAGAAAGAGCGGCGCGCGGGACGGCATTGGGTGGACCGCTGAAGAGGCGTTGCCTGGCAACGGGCGGGCGGGCGGTGGCTCCTGAGGAGACCCGGGCTGTTCCTGAGGGGATCGGGGCGGGCAGCGGGTCCTGAGAGGATCCGGGCGGCTGCTGAGGGGATCGGGGCGGGCGGCCGTCACCGCAGGTCTGCGCGGCAGAAACTGCTGCTGCTGAAGCCCGGGAAACCCAAACTTGTTCCGGCAAAGTAAAGATTTGAGGAGCAGCTAACTATCAAGAAAGGAACGGGGGAAGCCCAGCCTGTGGACTAGTCATTGCTCACAAGAAAACACAGTCGAGATGCGCGGCAGGTTTCTGCATCGCCCAAGATGGTGTGTCAAAAGCCGTTCCTTGCATGGCCATGCTTAAATTTTCAATTAAAGCTTCTAGTCAGAAATGCAGAAGGTGATGCTTGAACTTAAGGAAGTCCATTTTCATGCCTAGCTGCTTTAATTATCTGCAGAAGATATAAGAATTAAAGCACAATCTGGCTTTCTAATGAAACATCAATGCATTTGGGTTTGCCAAGTAAGCGCCAGTTGTTGTACTCCAGGAAATACTCAGACGTTGTGTTTGTCTTCAGTTGTATGACAAATGTGATCCAAATGTTTGATTTACGTAAGTAAATTCTGCTCATCTCTCTCAAGCTGCCAGTTTCAAGCTAGCAGAGCTGGCTGTGTTAGTGCCAGCTCAGTGTGGATACGTGGAAAGGAAAGCTTTTGGCAAGAGAACGATGGACTTGGGGAGCTGCAGGTCATGTACGTGACTGGATAAGAGACCTCTGCCCAGTGACTCAAAACTTACTGTTTTGGATGAGTTTGGATCAAGCCAACCTGGAACCTGTTCCTTTCCACAGCACAAACTGACATGCTTTTTTTTCATCTGTATCAGTAGTAGGTTTAGTCTTGCCATTAGCATGTTTTCTAAATTATTTTTTCCTCTACGTGCATTTGTATGTAGCAATGGGAAGTCATTTAATACTGAATCCTGGTGGCGTGAACTCTTTTTCTCATCTCTGACTTGGACAAAACGATGATTTCACAGCATATCTGTTCCCCTGAGGTACTGCAGAGTTCTCCAAATGTTCTTCCCATACTCCTACCACTTTTCATGCTTTCTTAAGCGGTCTTTGCCAAGAAAGGATGACTACACCATTATTCATCTTCATGCTTCCTCTGCAACTTCATGCAATATCCTGCCGTGTCAATTTTGGCAATACATTTCATGAATGATATGTAGATATATTTTCACAGGATATTGTTGAGTATCATTATTCTAAGTTAGGCAATTGAAAGTCAAACTCAGATGTTTGGAGACTCTTTTGTTACTGTCCTGGCTGCCGGACTCATAAAGATAAGTGCTTACTGCAGTGCATGAGGAAGATTGAAATTTTGTAACTTGTGACAGAATAAGATTGTGCTGGTATTGCATGAAAAAGTTTGTCTGAGTGTCACAGTGTTGCCTTTCATGTCATTCATACTTACCATTCAAATTTGCATCTGCCAAAAATGGAGAATTAATGCTGTGTTCAAAGCACACAGAACATATCAGTCATTCCAGGCTTGCCTCTTGCAACTCCAGTTTCATTTCTCCGGAATAGTTCTGGTGTTTGATATTCATAGTATCGCGTCCAAAATGTAATACATTATTCCTACACTCCATACAGGAAGGGGCAGGCTTGGGACCTAAAATTATTTCAGGGCATGCTTATTTTATCTGTAAAGATTCATCTGGAGCACATCTCACTAAACACTGTGAGAATAAGAACATTTAAAAGTGCAGTCACACCTGAAGACAGAAATAAAATACTGAAAAACAAACCAGGAAAAGTTTGGTTTAGTTTAAATTCTTCTGTAAGTGGATCTGTGCCAGCAAACTACTTGGACGTACAAAATCTCCACTGATACTCTTAGTGTGTGCACAGGCATAAAGGCTCTCCGCTCTTGCGGAGTGAGGGCTCAACAACCCCAACAACATGCGAAACCCTTGCTGTCCTGCAGAATGACTTGTTCACACTGTCGTGTTTGCCTGCAGCCATCTGTCAGCCTTCGGCCTCTTTCGGAGCAGGGGATCATCCTTCCCCCTTGAGTCCCAGTTACCAGTCAGCTTTGATCACGAGCACTGCGCTTGCTCATGGACACTGTGCAGCCGCTGCTGCAAACCTGCTTTGGCGCTACGTGGTGTAAAAAAATGTAATGTAATGTGTTTCGCTTCAGCCATATAGGTGGACGGAAAGTATGTTAGTCTTCAAGTACCTGATCAGAAGGGGAACAGAGATAAGGCTTGGGCGGATGGGCTTATGGCCGTGTACAGCTGTGTTTGAATAAAGTATTCCTGGAAGAATAGCTGAAGCAGTCAGGTAACCAAGTGAAGCAGCCAGATAACCAAGCGCAGGGAGCATGCTCCAACCCCTGGAGTCAAAAAGTCAAGATTGAGGAAGATGCCGAGCCTTCCTCCTGAGACCTCCAGAGAGACCCCTCGAACCGGACTGTGCAGACTCAGAGGGGCAGGATCCAATGTTAATGAGTCCCCCAAAATAACAGAATGTGTAAGAGATTTCTGAGACAACTGATGAATGTGTAAATGATAAGGACTACAAATACAGGAAACAGACCACGGCCGAGTGCGCTTAGCGGAACCCCCACCTTCCCTATGTGCCCGGTACCGTAATAAAAGGCTTTGCTTCTCGCTAGACTTTGTCTCCCAATTGACTTTGTTTCTAAGCCATTTCCCACAGTGGGATCCCGAACCCTCGACACGCGTGGGTGTGACTTCTTTCCCCTCCAACACGCGGTTATCATCCCCGCACGACGGAACCCTTGGGCAGGCTGCCACCACGAGCAACCCCGTTGCTGCAGCCACCGCACAAAGCGCACCCGCCTTTTCGGAAAAGCCCCAAGGCGCAGCGACTCCTTTGGGCGGGAACGGCCGAGGCCGTGCCCACCCCTCCACTCCCCTCCCCACGCAGCCCGGCGAGGCGCGGCGGCCGCGGGCATGCGTGGGGCCTCCCCCGGCGGCCGCCATTGGTCCCGAGCGGCGGGGCGGTGGTGGCGGGGAGGCCGCGCCCGCCCTCCTTCCCGCCGCCGCTCCCCTCACGCCGCCCGGCCAAGTTTAAACACCCCACACACACCCCGCGCACACACCCCGGGCTCGTCCCGCCGAGCCAGCCCGGAGTCCGCGGGGCTGCGGGGGCGCCGGGTGCGGAGGGAGCGCCCCGCCGCCGCCTATGAAGGTGCCGCGGGGCCGGGCGAGCCATGGACGGCGGCGGCGGCGGGGCGCCGCCCGCCCTGGAGAAGAACGCGGCGGAGCTGACGGTCATGGACGTCTACGACATCGCCTCGGCCGTGGGGCAGGAGTTTGAGCGGGTGATCGATCAGCACGGCTGCGAGGCCATCGCCCGCCTCATGCCCAAGGTGGTGCGGGTGCTGGAGATCCTGGAGGTGCTGGTGAGCCGCAACCACATCAACCCCGAGATGGAGGAGCTGCGCCTGGAGCTCGACCGCCTGCGCCTGGAGAGGATGGACCGGATCGAGAAGGAGCGGAAACACCAGAAGGTGGGGGCGGGGGCCGGGGGGGGGTCGCGGCGGGGCAGGGCAGCGCTGCCCGCGCCTGCCGGAGCCGCAACCGGGGGAGAGCCGGGCCCCCCCGTCCGTCCGTCCGTCCGCCCGCCCCTCGCAGCTGTTGGGGCAAACAAAGAGGGAAAACCCCGCAGGGGTGCGGGCCGGGGTGCCGCGGAGCGGGCGGGACACGCGTGGGGGTACAGCCGGGGCAGGGTCCCGGGCTCCGTGAGCATGCAGCCTTAGCGTTGCTGAGGCTTTGGGTGTGTTGTTGTTTTGTCCTTTTTTTTTTTTTTTTTTTTTCCCCTCCTGGAAGTTTCCTTCCTCCTTCCCTTTCTCCACCCCTTCCCCAGTCGCTGCATTTCCTTCTCCTTGTGTCTCCTGAGTTAGGACTCCTGCTTCATCCTCTGTAGATGAGGGGATAGTGCTTCTTTCTGCTAGGCAAGGAGAGGTCACTGACCATTATATGCTTTTCACTCCAGAGCTGTGAATGGTTTAGCAGTCTGGTTTTCCTGGCACACTCAATGGGTAGGCAAGTCATAGTGTAGAGATGGAGGGCCAAGTGATTTCAGAGCAGCGTTAGAGTTGGAGTGTAGGGAGGAACACTCCCATATTCCTGCTCCATCCTCTGAAGGGAAAATGTTGTCCCTTAGCTTGATCTGGTGTGGTCACAGTGTTCCCTGACCTCACTCCTATGAAAGCCTAAAATAGAGATCTTTTTGCATATCCTGTTACCCTTATGTGGCAGGACACCGTGAGCTGCTTCACTTACTGCAGTGCAAGTGGCAAGTGCACTCTTTAAACCATCCAGATAACTGATTTAAAGAAATGGTTCTGGTAAGTGACTGTGCTAAATTGTCACTGCTGCCTTGCGCCATTCCTGCTTGCACATACAGATTCAGAATAAAGAGGAGACAGTGAATTTCTGGAAGAGAGACCTCAAACTTCAACACTTGCTTTAAATTAAATAAATGCAAGTTTTATGTTTTAAAAAGAGTCAGCTAGGGGACTTTTGCTTAGCATATGGAAAATCCAGGATAATTCCTGCAACATTTTGTAGAGGAAGTCTCGGGGCAGTCTCTCTGAAAAGGAGGGTAGAAGATCTTGATGTATAAAGCCCTGGTAAGTCTCCAGAGTATGAAGTAAAGGTCTAGAGAATAGATGGCTTGGCACATGTACCAAACCTGTGCCTCTGCTCTTCTAACAGATATAACTTGGAGGCAAGTGGGTGGTCTGTTGTGCTGGTCCCATACTGTGTCTGGGCCCTCTGCTAGCATCAAATTAGCTTTTCCTGACCCCTCGCTGCCAGAAGGTTTTTTTGAGGGCATGTCGCCTCTGGGAAAAAGTGCCGTAGGTCAGGTCTCCCCACTGATTTCACAGAGACCACTGTATTGCCAGACAACAGTAGTTCTTTATCTCAGATATTTACAAAATGCCTTGTGGTGAAGTGGATACTGAACTGGGCCTGGCAGCAGCACCCAGTATCGTTATACAAGTTAATGTTCTGTGTAGATGCTTCTGAAGTGCATAAATGTGTTTAAAAGTTTCCCAAGCACGTCAACTGCATAACACTGTGCTTGCCAGATGTCAGCTGATCTCCCTGCCAGTTAACCACCTCTACTCTGCCAGCTTCTCTAATAGTCATGAAATGGCTCAGAAAGTGTTCAGACAATTCAGATGAAACTTTGGAAATATATTTAAACAAGAAAATTAAAATAGAAGATACATACCTTGTTTTGTTTTGTTTTTAATCGAGTCCCAGTGTACCAAGTTCCTATAGAACAGTAGTGTCACATCCCTCTGTGTTCCAGTGTGAGGGTCTGAAGACTAGCTCTTTCACAGGATAGGTACTGTAAGTAGAAAAAGCCAGAGACTGAGAAATAGTTGTGACCCAGAAGCCTCAAAAAAAACAATCCAGACAAGCTTTTAGGGGACCTTGCAAGCATCAGTTTATGGGATTTTTAGCACTTGCCTGTAAACCTGGCTTAGCAGTGCCTGGGTTTTCCTCAGCTGTCTGGTACCTAGTGCCCATAGATCAGCCTTCTCTGTCTGATACATCTACTAATGAGGGTTTAGAAGTTAATTTCTGCTCCAATTCATTGGGCTCTTCAACAACAATAATTAAGAAAGTTTGCCTGGGCAAGCCTTAGTATAGCTGTGTGTTTACAGTGCAGCCATACATAAACAATGTAAGTTTAGGTAGTTTGGGGTTTTGTGTGCATTCTATCTGTTTTTATCAGTGTGCTTATAACTGATGCATATGCTGTTTTATTATCTAAAATAGGTCACGGCGTTATTTTAGCTACAGGGTTGTAACAGGCAGCATCACTGTAAATAGTTATTTGGCAATATAAATTTCATTACAGATATGCTTTTTCTCTCAAGATAAATAGTTTCAAGTAAAATAGAGGTGATTAATGAAATTTTCTTTAGTTCTTAATAGTTAAGTCTGCATAGTTTACAACACCTATATTTTACTTATAATCTCTTTGTCATGTAGTGTTTTCTGCAAAACTTTTAGTAAGCATTATAAAATGACAGCAATACATGATTTCCCATTATCAGAGCATACATTCAAAACAGAAAGCTATCCTTAATCTCTCAGCAGAGCTTATTTTAGCCTAGAGCTGTGCTTGGCAGGGTTGTTGTCTGCATGTGTTTTGTTGTTAGGTAGGAAAGGGGCATGCTGGATGAATGTGAAAGTCAGCTAGTGAGTGACTCAGCCTGGCTCCAGTGATTTGCGTGCAGCTTTTTTGTTTGAAGCACATATGTGAAAATGGAGCAGAGAATGCTCTCCACTGCAGAACTATGATTTATGGCAAAAGCTTTTAGAACAAGTAAAGCTCTCAATACAACTGGTTTTCCTTGAGGACTTTATACTTTTTGTCCTAATTTGACCTTTACGGGGATTGGTGACAGCTGCTCTTGACACAGTGTCCTGACAAATGGAAGCTGTTACTTTGACTAGTCTCACTGTCACTAACATAGATGCCACTCGACATTCCATATAGAACAATTTACATAAGAAGCAGCACAGTGTTGTTTTGCGTTTACCATGTGGACTAGGAGCTCCAGGTTTTGCTGCAGAGTATCATGCACTCCTTATTTTGCACTTGTGTTTCATAACAGAAATGTAGACTAGAGACACTACTCTTTCACAATGAGCATGCCTAACACCGACTCCCCTGGCCCATGCTGTGTGATGTTTCTGGGGCACTTATAACAGCCTTTGCGGCTGCTTCCTGGGATGCAGGAGGTAATTCATGTTTGGTTATCTTGTCTAACACAGCAGCACCCTTAATGTGGTCCTCACAGCAAAATGGGGCTTAAAGAGCCATCCTTTGGCTAACTTGCTCATCAAAAATGTTTGCATCAGGAGTCGTCTCTTCATGTATTTACATTCAGTATATAGCAAAAGGAGACTTTGATAGCTGGTTTCTTGATGCTGGCATTAGAAAAGTAGATGTCTTCTGAGAAATTCAAAGTAGTCTCTTTTAATTGTTTTCTGTAAGAATCATAATAGGATTGTTACTAGTGTGATCTGTAAATAGTCCAGTCAAAGACTCTTAACATGTTTAAAATTATGAATGTGTTGTCCCGGTCTACCCTTTAGGAATTAGAACTGGTGGAGGATGTCTGGAGAGGGGAAGCACAGGACCTTCTTACCCAAATTGCACAGCTGCAGGAGGAGAATAAACAACTGATGACAAACTTGTCTCACAAAGACATTAATTTCACAGAAGAGGAATTTCACAAGCATGAAGGCAAGTTTGATACTTCAAATTCAGTAATTGCTTTTGTTACAAAAAGCAATACTTTATCAAAATACTTTGACTGGATATTCTGGCTTTTTTTTTTTCCTGTAGGTTAATGCAGGTTTGGGCTTTTTTACTTGACTAAAAAAATCTCTGAATACACGGTAATACTGAAGACATGACAAGAGGTGGGGATAGGAGGGAAAGGAAAGTCTGAACAGCTTTTTGTTTGGCTGAGAAGCATCTCTGAAGGTGAAGCCTAGCTTCCTTTTTTTTTGTGTATGTGTATCACTTTTTTTTTTTTCTTTTTAACTTTCATCTGGCAAAAATCATTCTTAAGCCCTGCTTATGTTTTCTAATACAAACAGAATAATCCATTCAGCAATGTTTATTTCACACCATTATGCACAAAAATAAGTGCAACTGTTGATCTGTTTGGAATAACTGTAAAGCAGCAAATCAAGATTTCTTTGGCTGAATTGCATCAGTCAGCCATATGGAGATATTCTAGGAGACTATCATGATACTGCTGGAATAGGAGAGACTGTTTTACTTGGTTTACCCGCCTTTAGGGTTCCCTCACTTGTTTGGGATTTACAGCCAATTTAGAATAAGTGAAAAGATTTATAATCCAGGGAGTGGACAAATCCTAAAGAGTTGAAACAATCAATTTGTGGGCAACTTCTTTCTTGAGGCAGAATGAAGCTCAAGACATAAGATTCTGACTTGCAAGTGCAGGTAGACTTAATTGCAGCAACTGAAACAATTGCCATCCTCAGCTCTCACCCACAGCTCAGCAGATAGCTCCTTCCCCAGAGCAGGGGCAGATGAACAGATGTCTATTTGCTCCACAGTTCATAGCACATCATTTGAGGCTGCTGGCTGCTGAGTCCATTTCATGATACTTTGCTGGGGTTTTAAGCTGAGGAGTTATAAAAAATGACTGCAGCTTTGAGGATGAGGAAGCCTTCAGCTGAGATGGGGCGGGCAGCTGAGAATGGCAACTGCGTCACTCCAGCAGCAAAACCTGCCTGTGATGGTGAGCGAGTCTGGAAGTGGGTGGCTTCCTGAAGTATTTGCACATGGACAGGACCAGTCCACTGCTTCAAGCCACAGCTCCACTTTCACGGCAGATTCTGATTATCAATAAAGTCGTGGCTCCCTCAAAAGGCTAGCTAGCATCCTGTGTGTCACGTGCAAAGGCACTGGCCAGTCTGAAAACCAGACCACACAGCTGAGCCATTGCAGCTCTCTGGTAAAGCATTAGGAACAAAGGGATATCCCTTTCCAGACACTGGAGGTTGGGATTAAATGGGAGCTTGCTGTAGGTGGATGAAACTCTGTCCAACACTGCAGAAGTTGCACATGTTTTCTCCCAGAGGCTGAGTACTGCTCACTTGCCCTGGCAAGGAATATAGTAAGAGGTTGAACAAATTTTACTTTTTGAAGGTTTGAAGGTCACCACTGGTTTTTTTTTGTTTGTTTGTTTGTTTTAAAACAAATGCAATGCTTTCAATTTAGGGGTCAATTAATGGCAAAGAAGTAGCCTAACATCAGCCTTACAAACTCCATGCAAAATTTCAGAATGGCAGTGATGAGTCATGGACCATGAAGACTACGACATCTTGTTACAAAAAAACAGCTTCCCCTTTGTTTTCTCTGTTTTGTTTTGTTTTTTTTTCTTCTTCCAATGGGTATTTAGCTCACTGCAGGTCATGTGATTGTATTTAAATATAGCCATACACTTCACATTCAGCTAGCCAGGCAAATGCCAAGCATGCTTTTCATGTTATTTTTACTGTGTCTACCCAAGTATAATAACACAAACAAAACCCATAAACCCATGCCAGATATCAGATTCTGGGATCACTGAAATTCTTTGGTCAAAATTATGAGTTTAAGTTAAATCACATTAATTTACAGTAATCCCATGTTAGTATTGGGATGTATTATATCAAACCCAACTGTTTTCCTTTTAGGGAACTTTGTCATTAATGAATGGGGATAGATTTGTCTCAAATGACTTGTTTGGGTCCTGTTAAAAAGCAGTCATGCTGCTGTTTTTTCACCTTTATCCTTTTATCTGATACAGGTGGAATCTACAGAGGCAGGTTTTCAAGCTAGATACTTTGTTAGCTGGATTAACTTTGACCACACTCCAGTCTTGGTATCTCAGCACGATTTAGTATTGTGATCATGTCTTCCCTTAGCAGCTAGCCCCTGGGATTAACAGCTTGCTGCTTACTCACCAGACAGTTAAAGGAGTTATTTTTAGCACAGGCAACAGTGATTTGGGGGCGCGAGACTTTGAGATTCAGTCCTTGCCAATTAATAGTCACATCAGAGTTCACAGAGCCTCCCTTTAGCATAATGAAGGTGTTTGAGGGAGACGGAGGCAATCCTGTCTAAACAGGAGCGTTCTGTACAGAGGGCACCTGCTGAGAGTCTGAGCAGAGCGGGGTTCGTGTGAAAGGGCATCGGCAGAATATGAAATACGCAGGAGGGGTTAAAGATGAGTCTGCAACATCCATTAATGCTGCTCCTCCCAAGCTCAAACTGAGCACTGCTTGAAGGTGCTGACTGATTACCATATCCTAGCAAAATGCCACCAGCAAACTTGACCCAAGGTGTGTCAGACAGGACAAGCAGGCTGCTCCTTCGCTGCAGCGAGGGGAGCTGCTGTCTCAGACTGGCTGTGGTAGTGCAGACAAGCAGCAGCGTGTCAGCAGTTGTGTGAACCTCTTGTGCTATGCTGCTGAGGAACTTACAACTCCCTTTCAAAAGTGGAGCCAAACTTATATTTTCCTAAGTGTTTAGGTAGTGGTATAGTGGCACAGGCCCCGACTGCCACTTTGGCCTGTTGTGATAGTTGTTATATGAACACAACCCTAAACAAGTCCCTAAACATAAATGTTCTCTCTCTTTTTTTTTTTTTATTATTTTTATTTTTTTTTCCAACTGCTTTCCTTTCTCTTGTTCAAACAATGCTATGATCACAGCAATCCACAGGAAGCTGCTCATAGGATGTGCCTAGGGAAGCCAGCTGGGTGTGCCATTTAAGATCTTGCAGTTATTAGAGTTTGAATGATTTAGAGATAATTACTTTACATTTAGGGCACTTAGTGATTTCCCTCTCCTCTTCCCCAGTGCCTGAGAAAATGGAAGAAGATGTGACTGTTTCACAAACACTTCCCACCTTTCCTTTCCCCTCCTCTTGAACTAAAAATGATAACGTAGCGATCTGTGCACACAATTGAAGTCTTCTAGGTTCACCAAATGTGAGGGAGAAAAATGAGCACAGTGGGAGGAAAAGCAGTCAGCACTGAAATGGTACTTTATTCTTTAAATAGCTCCTGCTATCTAGAGATCTCAAAGCATCTCACAAGTACTAATGAGTATAGCTGCACTCACTATTCCTAGCTCCTACTGGGGTGAAACAACCCATCTAAAGTTTCACTGCAATCCCTCTGTACTTCAATTCAAAGTTTTGTATTTTTTTGTTTCTAAATAAAACTGGTGTTTTAGGCCCCATCCCTGAGACTGGCTGCAGAGGGTGGATCCAGGAACCTGTAGTGGCATTTGTGGATACAGTAGTGTACCAGACGTGCTGTGATAGGAGTGCGGATCTTTTAAAGAGTTAAGTAGCAGTATGTGTCAGTGTCTACTTGTCCTCCCTGGTGGGTATGAGTATCATCACAGTGAAGAATTAAAATTACCTTGCAAAGAACTAGAACCTAGAGCAGAGAGATGATAAGGACCAAGGTCCAGAAATAGAGCAGGCAGACTTACCACAGAATTAAAAAAGATGATAATGTAATACTGGAATGTGAACACCGTATCAGTCTCAACTCTTTTCTGGGGTTTGACAGGAACACATCCTCTGAACCAAATTCCCAGCCAGCCATGGTCACCAGTCCTTTTCCCAGCAGAGCAGTTACCTGTTCTCTGCTATACCATAGCTCTGGTCCTTTAGCAGTCAGGGATTGGAGCTGCTGTTGCTCCTCTTTGCAGTGGTGTGCTTTTTATGCCTGCATGGGAACCCACAGCTGCTGCAGGAGTGCACAACCACCAAAGAGTTTCTCTCTTTCTCTCAGGGTTGTCTTGCTTGACTGTATTATCCATCAGTTCAAACTGCAGACTGTCTGTAAGCTGGAATTCCTAAAGGCATGCAGCCTACATTCTCTTATGGATTTTTCTGATGCGGGAAGAACATAACCAGAAAGTCTGAACTGATGTTAGAAAGTAGAGACTTAACTGTTGGGATACATTTGATGTGTATGCAGCATATTTCTGAAGTGGGAACTGATTCAATATATTAAAAAGGAAGTGGCTTTGCAGCTACCCCAGAGGGGTGAGTGAATTATCACCACTCACAGTTCATAAATGGAGGAAGCTGAGGACCCATGTAGCTAAGCACTTTGCCAAAGGTAGTACCACAAGGCAGCAGCAGACCCTGGATTTGAGCTCCTGCTTGGGCTGGACTGTGGCCAGAGCAGCCACACACTGCCCTGGTCACAGGCTTTTATCTTCGAGCCATCCTATGGGATGTTGTGTACCATGATTTTATGTGATAGTTTAGGCCCATTGAACTGCATGTCTCTGTGCAGTTATCAGAAAAAGATAGTGTAGTAGACTTATCATTACACTGAGTTAAATCATCTGGTGTAGTGCCAGTTCCTGATTATCTCCATAATGGCAAATAATAGAAGAATGCTTCCTGTTTTGTGGTTTCTGACATTTCCTAATGATTCATTGGTCAGATTTTAGGTTAAGCTAATCCTTTATTTTCAAACAGGATCAATGTTGGATTCTTGGCAATGTTCCAAACATCTTTCACAAGTGAAATGCCATGTAGTATCTTTCTCTGAAGTACAGTTATTCTAAATATTAATTATCACACAATTGGATGGGGAAAAGGTTGTAAAACATGAGGAGAAAATAATTCAGGCTAAATTTCTGTTCTAGATTCAGGGTGGGGGTACCCTGTGAAGGTCCTGCTTCATCTCCCTTTCACCCAACAGAAAACTGAGTTTCAACGTAAAATCATTCTAGTCCAGTGCACTTCAGCTGGTTTGGATCTAGGTGCAATCCACAAAAGTGATGTGTTGTTTAGATCTCACTGAGGATCCAAACCATCTTTTTTATAATTTTCACAGGGTCTTGGCCAGCTGATTCTACAAATTATCACACAGATAACCAAGTTCCCTGAGGCATATTGTGAACTACCGAGGCAGCAACATGTAGCAGTGTCACGCTACTGTTATAAATGTTTCTGAAGACTGTCAGTTCCTTTTTTAAGGAGTTTCTGTGCAGTGACTTTATGGAGTGGATTGTGTCATCTATGTTCTGTGTTACCCTTGAAGTAACCTTTAAAGCATCTTCCAACAGCTCTGCAATTCTACCAGCAGGCAACTTCCAGAGTCTTTACCTAAATATTTCTCACTGTTATTGTTCTCAGTCTCAGCATCCCCTGGTTGTCCTTAGTTTGTTTTCTGTGTTCTTTTTTTAACCAGGAATGTCAGAGAGAGAGCGGCAAGTCATGAAGAAGCTGAAGGAAGTGGTAGATAAACAGAGGGATGAAATCAGAGCAAAGGACCGGGAACTCGGACTTAAAAATGAGGATGTAGAGGCTGTAAGTGGCTCATAGTCTTCCTATTTCTCTTCTTTCTCACCCATACTTCCATAGCCTGGTTTCAAGTTTTAAGTTAATGTAGAATTTTAAGCAATGCCAGATTATTAGTCCAGTAACTGAAGAGTCTGGCATAACTGTGGAGTGTCCAAAGTGATTAGGCAGTCTTCAATGCAGGCACACACCCCCTGCTGTGTTCAGAAGGACCAGACACACTTGGAATGTGACTGGAAACCAGTGTAACAAGGGAGGAAGATGGGGGAAGGACAGGTTGGTTGGTTTGTTTCCTTAAAGACCCGATACCTCTCCCCTTTCATGGGAACAGGATAGGTGACTTTCTCTGGCTTCTTTAATCTGTCTCTGCTTGAGCAGTGCAAACTTCCTCAGCACCCCTGTGCCTCACCCCACCCAGAGATCCCCACTGTAGGTGAGCGGGCTACTGAATATTTTAGATATACTCTCAGCAGTTTGACAGCAGGAACTCCACACACGCCCACCTACACCAGCCACACAATGTGGATTACCTCTTTGCGCAGGCAGGGGTAGGAGGAAGGGGCCTGAGCCCAGCCCAGGTTGCCAGCAGTGAACAGAAGGTCACTGAGGGGATGGGTGGCCCTGAGGACCACAGCACAAGAGGACCAGGTTTAGTCTTAGATGAATCACAAACTCCACTGTGACTCTGAGAATCACATGATGTCTTGGTTCTTTCTGTGTCAGGAGGAATGACCTCCTTACCCATATTTTGCTTCCCATCCTCGTGCTGCCTCATCTCCTTAGGCCATGGGACTTTTGTGGTGCTAGTGAGGGCCAGACCTAGATGGTCTCTGCTCTGCCCAAGTGCCTCTGGCAGGTGCTGTGGCCTTTTGAATCGATGCTGTCCATACAACACCCAGCAGGTCGCATCCTGCCTTATGAGAGAGCCTAAGAGCTCAAAGCCAAGTACTTATATTGTAAATTGAATACTAAGGATTCCTCTGTCTTGTCTTTCCCTCTTCTACTCTGCGTTAACATTTGATTCAGAACCCCATAAGCTACCCTATACTTGATTTTTGCTTTTTTGAAACATAATATCAGAGTTGATAGATTTGCTTTTAGCTGGAGAATTCACTGTGCTAGGGGAAAAACGCCTCTTTACTTTAGAAACCAATCAAATTTTGGTGACTGCAACTGTAGTAGATAATTAGATATTACAAAAACTAATCTGGGGGCGAGGAGGAGGGGTGAGAATTTTCCAGCTTAAATTCAACAGGAACCCACTATTTTTTCTTTAACATAATATTTAGGACTTGGCCATCATGGCTGATGGTTGAATGGATGCTGACCTATTGCATCAATGTTTTGCAGCTTCAGCAGCAACAGAACAGGTTAATGAAAATTAACCATGACCTTCGTCACCGGATCACTGTTGTTGAGGCTCAGGGGAAGGCGCTGATTGAGCAGAAGGTGGAGTTAGAAGCGTATCTGCAAACCAAGGAGCAGGAGATGGGCAACCTGCGAGCAGAGCTGGGGAAACTGAGAGAAAAACTGCAGGGTGAGGACAGCCAAAATGGGGAGGAAGTAAAGGTAAGAGGCACTTTAAATCACTTTTCAAACAGCCTTTTAAAAAGCTTTGGACTCCATACCAAGTACCTCTTCTTTGGATAAATGTGATTGATACACATCAGAGGCAATGGTGGGATGTGAGGACAGCATCTTGTGTTCAGGTGTGACGTACAGGTGGCAGTGTCATTCATTGCACTGAGACAGCAAAGGCCCTGTGAGGGTGGATGATGACCCAGTGGAACAGACCTCTCCTTCCTAAAGGAGGGAACTGGTCTCATGGAAGGCAGAGGGGCAGCACAAGTTAGAACTGGGATGTCTGCATTAGTGAACAGCTCTCCCCTTAGACTTGGCTACCTGTAGTACATCCTAGGGAGCGTAACCTCGGGTCGTGCACTAGGCTGCAGAATTTTCCAGATACCAGAACAAATCATTGATTCAAAAGGGAGTGTTCTATTAAAAACATCATGAAGCAGTTCAAAACCTCTGGAGTATAAGCTGTTAGTCCTACTGGAGGCACACAGTGTTTTGGTAGTGCTGTATTAGTATGTTTGGCTTCATTTTGTTTGTACTCATCAACGATTTCCCCCAAATGAAAACAAACCGATCCCTTAAACAGTCTGGGTTTTCCAAAAGATAAACGGCTGACAAGTAGCTTGAGCCTTGCTGAACATGTAAATATGCAAGCCCTAACGAGTCCAAAGGTGCAGTGCACTATGATGGTGGTGGCATGTGAACCATCGTGGAAAATAAACTGTCAGAAGGGGTCCTGGGGCAATGCAGAACTCAGCACACTTGATCCTGGCATTGCTTATGGCACTTCGGATCTGTCAGGACTAAGCTGGTGTTTTGCTACCAGATCAACATATAAATATTTGAAGGCAGCTTTTAGAGGAACCATCTTTGGCCTTATGTCTGCTTGCGCTTCCTATTAGAATTTGTGCAATGAAGTGTTACTAGCACAAATGTTCATGAAAAGCATATGTTACTGCTTGCATACTCAGGTACTTGCAGGAGCAGGCAATGTGACAATCTACAAATTGACCTGGTGCTGAGATCAGAGCAGCAGGAATGCAAACTTGAGGGGAGCTTCCTGAGAAAATGATGTGTCTGTGATTTGTTGCATCCCTTAGTCCTCTTTATGGTTCCTATTACTTTTCTTTGTGCATATGACACTACTTCCGTCTTACTAAAGCAAATGTGCTGTATGTCCCTTTCCTAATGCTGCTCTTAGTAGAGTACAAAATAGGATAAGGGGTATCACGATATGAAAGAACTTAGAGGAGCACTGTCACATAGAGCTGTTTAGCTGGATGTGTTGGTAAGAGCTCCAGTACCAAGCGGCATTGTAAATGCCTTGCGGACTGCAGCGGAGAGTGAAACATCCAGTTCACTTGTAGTAGGCAGGAATGTACATCAAGAAGCAGAGGCAAAGGCTGATGGGGTACCCTGGTCCCCCCTGGAATGTGACAGCCAGTGTTGTGTTAACACGTCACTGCTGAATTGGGCAAGCGCTGTATTAAGAACTAAGAGAATGATTTCATTGCTGTTAATTCAGCCAGGACACCCAGCTTTGTAATCAGGGCTGTGGAGCCTAGGCCTACAGCCAGCAGGAGTGAAAGTGTCTTCAGTCTCTGGAGAGAAAGGATGCATTCTTTACCTCTCTCTAGCTCATCAGTTCCATGGCAGTGGTGCCTCTTCTAATTAGAGCCGTTCCCCGTTCTCTTTGCCACGATGATGATTAGACAGGAATTGCAGTGGCAAGCAGAAAGCTAGAATAGCTGCGTGCTCTGGAATGGACATTGCTTGTTGGCTTCAGTCAAGTACGTTTGCATTGGCTACAGGCGACTCAGTCTTTGCTGGTTTGAGAAAAATCTAGCAAAACCAGCTGACTTGGGCAAAGATGTGGGGCAAATATACAACCAAAGGAAGAGGCATAAGCTCAGACCCTAATCTAGAGGGGTGAAGAAGAGGAAAAGCATCTGGGTAGTTTTCTTTGAACCTCTTGTTATGTTGCATCAATCTCTATTTTGAGATTGATGCAACTTAACAAGAGGTTGTAGTTTGTGTAAAGAATTGCATTTGGATGAATGGAGTGAATCAAACAAATGAACAGTTGAATATTGCTCTGCTGCTCTGTCTTTGCAGGACAAGAACTGCAATCCCTGCTGTAGAAATTGATATTGCACCAATCTTAGCCCAGCCAAGTTTAACCTGAAGTCATAGATCAATAGATAGCAAAACCATTTCACAAACACATGAGCTTAAAGGAGGGTAGGATCAGGCTTACAAAAAACAGACTCCGTTTAAGAATTGCAGTACTTAACTCCTCAAATTTCCAGCTGGTATCCCAGTGAGGTGTCACTGCAACACAAGTTCTGAGACTGAGCTCAGCATCTTACTAGGAGGGCAGGTGGCTGACCTGGCTGCTGGCATCTCTGATTTCATGTGCTGGCTTCTAATGAGTCCTTGCAAAAAGCATCACATTTCAAATGCACTTTGCTGGAGCAGAGTGCCCTGAATTTATTTATATTGTTAGAAATCTTGCAGACCTCCAGAGGCTTATAGCTGCTTTTCAGCATCTTGATTCTGAGTACCCTTCCCAGAAGCTTGTGATTTCTCATTAGCTGGTCCTCAGCTCTCTGCAGCCACTGAGTGGAACAGCAGTAGAGGACCTGAATGACAGTCTTGTGTGTGTTGTGTTTATACAGACCACATTTTCACAAGCAGTTAGGGCCAAATAGTTCTGTGAAAGTTCTAGAGTCTACCTGGGTGCTAGGAAGCGGCCGCACAGGCCTGGGAATCCAACCATGTGCCTAGAGTGCAAGTTCTGGCTTGTTGGGAGCCACAGAAACTGGGTGGTGGGAAATAAAATTCTTCCAAGCTTCCAGTGAACTCTTCTCAGAGGAAGAGACAAGAGTACACAGGTATAAATGTCTCATCTAGCATTCATCTGCAAACACCAATCCTACTTTTTTAATAAAGGCACTAAGAGGATATAAATATCCACTTGATATGTTCACATCCAAAGCATCCATCTCTTCATGGGAGGAGCTGTAAGGAACTGTCATGATCCTTCCTATGCAGTTTTTTCAGTGTTTATATAAAAGGCTGATGTTTGATTTACCTCATTTGTTAAAAGTATGAATTCCTTAAACTGACTTGTTTATAAAAAAATCGGACTATGCATTTTCAATGGACGTTCTGGCAGTCTGGATTCCACAGGAGTTTCTCTACAAAAAAACTTACCACCCATAAGGTGGCTCAGGTTGGACCCTATGTTCAGGCCTGCTAGAAACAATTAGTATTTGTTTGTTTTCCCATACATTTAACTCTGAAGGATTCTTGTGAGCACAGGGCTTTGATTGTAGGTCACAACACTTAGGTCTTCCTTCCCTGCAAGCTTCCCCTGAACACTGGGTGGAGAGAGGTAGAATAGAGCTCAGATCATCTTTCAGAGGCCTGCCACAGTCTCACCAGTCCGGTGTGTGTCACCGGTCAGCCTGTGCACAGGAAAGAGCAAAGTGATCAGATCACCAAGTTGTTCTTGCTTACAGTCTTTAACATGAAAAACAAATTCCCTCCTACATTTTTTTTCTCTTAAATTGTTGTGTTTCTCTTAAAACAGGATTTACTAGCGCAGAAAGGAAGAGGTTGGGAACTAGACTGATAAATACTTCAGACTCCTCAGACATACACTTGCATGGTGAATTTAAAGCCCGTGTTTCACTTCTTAGGTAGAACCAAACAATGATGACTGCCTCTCAGAGTCAGAAAAGATGGCAATGGACTTAAAAGATCCAAATCGTCCAAGATTCACCTTGCAGGAGCTCCGGGATGTCCTTCATGAGAGGAATGAATTGAAATCTAAAGTGTTTTTACTTCAAGAGGAGCTTTTGTACTATAAAAGGTAGGTTAGATCTCCTCTCCCATTGCATGCTATACACAGAGGAGTCACAGGGCAGATGCAGAAACAATAAATGTGCTCTTAAATAGTATCCAACAAGCTTATGTTTCTGCAAAGGCTTAAAGTAGATATTGCAAGCATATGGCTTTAGTTTGAATCTGGTTCCTCAAGATTATGAAAAGCTATGTCCTTCCTTAACTCCCAGGTTCCCCCTGAATCTTAGAAAGATTACAAACATTTAATACTTTTGAACTTCAAAAATTAGGATAAAAGTGGGTCTAAAATGAAAATTCTAGAACTCCCATTCAATGCATTCCTCTTCTCCCTCTCCTTGTCCCAACGGGAAGAAAATACTGACAGGACACCCAGTTCTAGTTGCTGTTTCTTGGTTGACAGAAAAATCTCCCATTGATTTCAGTGAGCTCTGAACAGATTTTTTTTTCATTTCTTCATCAACAGTACTTCCTCAGGTTGAATTTTAGAACTTAAAAGTGCTTCCATGGCTTGGGAGGAGAACATTAATTCTTTTCTTTCTTTCAAGTGAGGAAACAGAAGAAGAAACTAGATCCCCTCAACCTACACCCATCATTCAGTCAAAACCCTCAACTCAGCCTGAATCTGGAATCAAACGACTGTAAGTAGCATATTTTCTAAGGATACTGGATATAGTCTGCAAATACTATATGTTTCTTATGGGTCAGACAATTTTAAAGAATTTAAAAATTAAGATAAACACATCCCTAATGTATATGGGAGAGACATTAAAGGAGCGCTTGACAAGTATCATGAAACAGCAGCTGGCTTTAGCCAAAACTTTTGGCTAGAGCTGGGACAACTTTCAGTCTCGGATTATTTCCTGTGGTGCCTTTTGCTCCCTGTGTGCAGAGGGCAGGAAGGACTCCAACAGGACTCCATGTGCTTCTGTTTATGTGCCAGACTGCTGTGTCCAAGAAGCCCACTCCAGTTCTAATGTTTCTTTCTTAAGTACACTATTCAGGCTAACACAAAGAGCATGTGTTGCAATGTTTTATTATTGCTAATATGAGCTGATGAGCTCTTAAACACAGACACCCAATCCTCCTAGAGAACTTTCTTGTTGCTAATAGTGGTCTTATCCAGAGCACTGCTCAGCCTGTCCTGCGTGCCCAAAACTGAAGTCAGTGCCGGATCTCAGTGTACAAGGATTGTAGGAACAATGCTTCTGTTCAAGTGCAAGTCCCAGCTCCTTAACACATGGCTCCTAAGGTGGTGGAGTGTCAGAAACCCCTGGCCCCCAGGTCATGCTTAGAAGATGTGTAAAGAGTGTTGTTCACAAGTAAAACCAGCTGCAGACCTATAGAAGTAGGGCATGGGGAGCAAGGTTTCCCCATGGCCTTGCTGTGCCTCTTTCCCTGCTGACCTAAGCTTTTAGAGCCCGACTTGCGCTGTGCGTACAGCACAAAAACCTTGTGTTTGCTGAACAAATTTGCTGCTGGAGAGGATGCCAGCTTTCTTGGTTATAAAGAGCCCCACCTTCTTCTGGTGAAATATTTCACGTTGCTGCTGACAAGGTGTGCATTTACTAGTATATCACTTAATAATAGAATCACAGTGTTAGTCAATCCACTTCTCTGTTGAAACTTCCTCCTTGTACATTTGTTTATTCCAAATTAAGTCTTGCAACCTCATAGCAAGACTCTGGATTTTTGTGATACTGGAAGCTTAACTGTTTTAACCACATAAATGATTTTGGAACAGTCATTTGTTTCCACATAAAAAGCTTTTTCATCCCGTCCCCATGTCCATAACCTTCAGTCCTTGTTTAATAATAGCAGCAGCCCTGTGAGAATAAGTTCCATTGAAAGATCTGGGCTGATCCAAAACACCATAAAGTCAGGAGGGCACCTTTGATTATTTTCAGTAGACTCCAGCTTCTGTCTGTGCTACTTTTTTTGCTGAGAGAACCCTTCCTCTCACATGACTATAAAATACACTTTGAGTTTGGACTTAAGTTTTCATTCTGCAACTGTGATGATAATAATAATAATACTTTGTTTCACATGATCTCCACTGTAAAGCTTCTCTTTTCTTTTAAATGTATTTTAGTACTTTTTAAGGCTTATCCTGTTGTGAGGGATGGCTGGTTTCAGCTTACACAGTTTGTGTTGATTGCAGTTTCCCTGCTTGACTTATGAAGCAAAGGCAGCATAAAAATGTAAATAGACGTTGTAAGCACATGCTGACAAGGTATTAGCTTTGACTCTGCCTTCTGCATATGTGCATAAGCAACGCAGGGAGCCATGGCAGGAGGCACATAAGTGTTTTCAACCAATTATCTCTGTGCTATTTTCCTCTCAATTTATTAGTGAAAACCTGTTGAGCATCAGACCATTCAATCAATGCACGTTTTCACATACCTGTCTAATCTGTTTCTCAGGTTCTGTGTTAAAGTCATACAACTAAAAACAGCACACAATAAAACATAAAACTATATTGTTTTGGCCCTTTCAGAAAAGGCAGGAGTCCTCTTCTGCCAGACAGTGGAAGCACATATTGCACCTGCTGTTAAGATGAAATTACTTTCTTTAGCTGTCATGCTTTGTCCCCAGGTTTCTTTCTGCTCTCTCTTCATTTAGTTGCCTCATTAAATAAGGGAAGATAAAACTGTTTACTTAAGTGACCTGAAGAATGGTAATAGTTTTCAGGTTTGTCTTATTCTTGCAGCCTGTCTGGATAAGATTCATCTAGTGTGGGTTTATTTTATTTCTCCCCTCCTCTCTGTGTGTGTTGTCAACAGCATACTTGTAGATGGGCTTTAAAAAGAGTAAATTTCACTGCTGGGAAAAACAAAGAACCCAAATATAGCATCTGTTCTGCCCCGGTATAACACCCTGTCCTGCCCCACCTGCAGTCCCTGCCCAGCTGCGAGCTGTCTCCAGAGCTCCCTTCTCCCTCTCCCCGGCAGGATGCTCTCAGCGCCTGGCTCTGTGGCTACCTGGGTAACACACTGGCACAGAAACTCTCCATACCTGATGACGTGATGAAGACTTGTAATGCTGATACCTGTGCACAAAGTGCCTGTACAAATTAAACTAGGGTTGCTTTTCCCTCCATTTCAGACTTTTTCCTCTTGATTAAACAGGAAGTTGGAGTACAAAAATAGGAGACACTTGCTATCCTCTCAAGGGAAGCTTTATGCTTGCCTGTGCAACGTGCCCTTTTTTCTTTAACCATACAGTATTTCAGGGAATGAGATGCGTATGTAGCCTACACCATCTAATATATGCTCAGGTGATTCTGTGCTGTATCCCCATAAAGAAAGGAAAACAGAAGTTACAGAAATCAGAATTTTTTCAGTCCTTGGGTTTGCACATTTGGGGCAAACTCTGAGTTCTGATCTCTGACTGATTGACTTCTACATTTGTCTCTACCACATCACATGTCAGACTTTTGATGAAATAATGTAACCAGGAGGCTTTACTGAGGAGGGAAAGTACAATGATTAAAAATGCTCCCTCTGTTTTGAGCAGAAAACGCCCTTTTGTTTTCTCTTTAAGGATATGTGCTTGTTTGTCACTGATGTAATGCCTGAAACAGCCATAAGTTTTCATCCTATTCTTGCAGTCTACAAAAGCTGATGTGTCTGTCTCATTTCTGCAGCTCACGGACCGTGCCACAATGAGTAAAAATAGAAGTCCTAGCTACTGCTAATCATACAACGGTTGCTTGTTTGTTTTGATTTTTAATCTAAGAATAGCAGTTAGAGTGACTGTGTTGAGGAGAGCTGCATTTGGTCACAAGTGAAATGTCTCTCATGATTTCAACTTAATCTTTAATTGACATTAGTCCACAGTTCAAAAAAATATTTGGCACGGGGGAGAACCTCTGAGGAGCATCCTTAGAAAAACAGAGGGTGTTCCAGGTATGGATGAAGGTGTGTTGGCAGGTTTGTGTGGGGCTGGCTGGGCATAGAGCGCCGAGCCAGGGTGCTCGCTCAACCTCTGAATTGCATGAATTGTATAATGCGTAGTGAAAGTGCTGACCTCTTACAACTAGACAGTGTTTCTGCTAGAGCAGTTGCAAGGTTTCACGTAAGCATTCAGCTGCCTGCAGTTGGCATCTTTCTGCATGTGAAGCGATGCAGGTTCTTTTGGAACAGATACACAGGCCCTTTAACCAAGTAGCTTGCACAGGAGGTTACTTCAAGATTTCACCTGCAATACTGTTTTTTAATTTGAAACTATCAACTGTAACATTTGTAAAATCTTTAACTGTAATGCTGGTCCTCTCTAACCCTGTTTTCCGTGCAAATATCCAGTAGCCACAGCAGAGTCCTGTTTTGTATTTCTTAACATACACCTTCATCCTTCATTTCATTACGTATGTGCCTGTTTGTCTCTTGGGAAGAAAAATGTGCACTCTGCTCTGCATTGCTAGAGGTGGTAATACCTTCATGAAATCCAACCCAGATTGTAGGCTGCCTCACAACAGAAAAGTGGTATCTTTTAGAAATTCAAAAGCAATTTAAACTGTTACAATGACTGTTTTTTCTAAATAAGTTTTTCACTGAGGAGACCTGTCTTGGGTGATGCAGATCCACCTCTCCCTGTAACATGTCCTGTGTGGTTCAAAGTAACCCCGTGTATCATGTTTGCCTCTTTTCTTTTTAATGGAATGCTTTTTCTTTCCCTTGCTCCAGTCTTACCTCTTCTGTGTCTGTACTTTCCTGACCAGGATCTTTACAGCCATAATGCCCATGGTAGCAGCTGGATTGATTCCAGATGATCCCACATTGCAGCCAATAAGAAGACTTGTGTCCCTTGTAGGAGTTTTTTTTTTAAATGTTTGGTACCGTGGTTTCCTTTTGCATGACCCCGTGTTAACATGCACTGCTGGTTACATTCTCATCGGCTGCCTGTGGGATCACAGAAGAACAAAATGCCAATCAGAATGACCAGTCAGTACACAGTTCAACATACTCCTCCATACTCATCCTCAAATAATGACATTTTATCACCTTTTGCCTTAATGTTACCATGCTAAACCAATCATTACTCCTTAGAAAATTGTTCCAATATGCAATTTTAACCAGCGTCTGTTAACTTTGCTTACTAGGTGTGCCTATTGAAAATTCACACCAAAGCTTTTTAAGAAACCCACGTCATTCTAATGACTTGTTACAAACCAGTTAGATTTATAGAATGTAATGGCTGATATCTACATTAATTTTTAGTGTTAATTATAGGCCATTGCTTCCATGTCTTTCTATGCACTGTATATTTTGTCTCTAATTATATGTTTTGGAATAGAGTATACACTCCATAATCAATTCTATCATTCTATTTTTGCCTGTCCTTGGAAGACATACTGATAATTGTTAATGCAAAGTCTCTTTGCATTAGAACTGCTGCTTTAGTGATCTTTATATTTACAGCAGCAACACGGCATTTAAATTCCCTTCCTCTCCACACAGACGTGCTTTTTCCAAACATCCTCCATGAGACTCTCACAGTCATAGTAATTTTCATTGTCTCAGAAGGAATCAAAAAAAACCTAACCCGTCTGCTTCGTGTAGAGGTTTTACCAACATGTTTTTCTCTTACTTGATTTCATAATAAAGTGAAAAATTACTGAACTTTGACATTTGAAACGTACTGCATAAATACAGCAGTCCTTTGTGTGGACTTCAAGCCTGACCGTGCAGGACCAAACATACTCAGCAGAAAGCCTTGGTGACTAGACACTCCTTTTATCAGATGAAATTGGACCTGGCCCTGAAAAGACATAGCATATGTGTGTGAATTTATGAGCTCCTGTGATGAAGGTGGCAGAAAAGTATGAGGCTAATTAAGTGCAAAAGACTTACTTCACTATTAAGGCTGCACATCTGAAGCCCGGAAATGCAAAAGTTCGGGTCCTACTAGCAACGTCAGTTATCTGGCATTGCACTTGTGTAGCTTTTTATATCAATCTTTGGTCAAAAAATTATTCTTGATATTCTTGATAATTATCATCATGCTTACCTGCACATGTGATAGGATATTTTTTCAGGATAGCTGCCTTAAACCTCATCTTACACCCAAATACAACCTCCTGTGTGCCTAGAGACATCGAAGGCAGAACTCCCTGGCCTCAGAAGGCAGCTTGGACAGTTGGGATCCGGGTTCTGAGGGGAGACTGAAGGGAGCAGGGGCGGAGGAAAAACGCTGAGGACAGAGGGGCGTGGATGTAGGGTCAGGCTCATGCCCTGACAAATATTCCATCACCTCTCAAAGTTGAGTTTATATTTGCATAGTTTCTTACCCTAGCACCATGTAGCAATTCTCATCCTGGATCAGAACTGCTTTATGCTTGGTACTGTGCAAGCAAAATAACATTTACCTCCTAAAGTGCAATGTTAAAACCAAAAGGGTACGCAGCCAGTTCAAACCTTTGGTAGCTGGAACCACAACTTTTGCATTTCTCAGTGCAACAGACCCAAACACTGCACTAACACCTCTTGTACTGAACTCATGATGATAAACACTGAATTTCCCTAATCAAGTAACTTCATCCTATACAAATAAAATGATACTAAGGATTTTTCCAACTGTATTTTTTCAGCTCTGTTGTCAGCTAGCAATTTGTTGTTGTATTAAATAGCTGTTGGTTCACGTACGTCATTATCTTAGAGCACCCAAGCTGTGTGACAGGAAATGACGTGCACACTTGTGTGCATTTGTTTAGAGCCTTCATCCTGCAAACTCCTGAGCACACATGTGCATTTATTCATTTATTTTTGCAGGAATCAAGTCTATCTATCAAAGTCTGTACACTTGGAAAAAATGTGGAGGCTTATTTTCTTATGAATTTCCCTGCTGACACCCTTAAAAACATTCTCTATTTCTGCTTTATGGTAAATCACACAGATGTAATGCCAAAGATACCACTTTACATATGCCAAGAAACTAACCTGTATCATGTTGCTTCTTCATCTCAGGGCTGGGGAAGGGGGAATACACAACTCAAACAATACCTGCACCTTGTAGAGTCAACAGCATTTAGAGCTTATTTGAAGCTTCCATAGCCAAACCGCTTGAGATTGCAATGACTTCATCTCTAATAACATTCTGACATGCACTCCCATCAGGCTTCACTGCCTTGAGTTTTGCAGATGCAAACAGATTTTTTTGCTCTGTGTTTTGTTGTGCTGTGTATCGTGTCGGGTGTTTGAAGTGTTTTCAAGACGGTAAACAGTTTTCTTTCTTTTCCTTCCCCTCCCTTACTTCTCCCTTCCTGGAAGGTTTAGTTTCTTCTCTCGTGATAAGAAACGTATACAGGCATCACAGAAAAATGTCCACTTCCAGGATACTTTTGGAGAATGGTCAAATTCAAATAAAGATGACTCCTACACTGAACAAGGACAAGAAGCCCTGCAGCACCTGTGACTAAAACCTTGAGGTGTTCAGTTTACTGCAGTAGATCTCAACAGTCTAGTAACAAGAAGCTTCTGTAAACAAATCCGGCAGCTCATCACTTTTATTTGCCTTGCACACCTCAGTGGTTGTGTTTCAGATGTACTCTTCAAAAGGGATCCCTCACTGTTTGCTTGGTGACTGCTGAAAACAGAATCCAAGCCTTGTAGTAACAGTTGCTGATACCCTGGGACATCGAAGCTTCTAGATGACTTGTTTTGTGCTGAATAACAAGTCTATGGTCTTGTTCATGCATTAACTACAGTAACACAAGCTTCTTTAAACCAAAAAAAGGACCCGTGCCATTATTAGAAGTTTGTTTGCAGTGTACAATATCTAGTGGCAAAGACTCTTTTACCCTGTTTGTTAACACTATCGGTTGTATGCTTTTTATTTCTGTAAGAATTTTTTCAAGAGGGATATGACATCTGGCCACTCTCCATGGCAGGTCTTAGCACTGCTGTCCTGTCAAGTTCAGCTGGGATCTGCATTTTGCAGAGTAACCACTTGGAAATCCACCTGGTAGGAACTGATAAACTGGAGTAGCCTTGAGAGGGATAGTGAGTGTACATTTCCCTTGCTGCTTATAGTGCCTAAAGCATGAAGAAACTGACGTATGAGGTGAGCGTGCCTTGCATTTTGCCATGAGTTCTGCAGTATTAACAGAAGACAAATTGGTTACAAGGAGGAATTCTTACACTTGAATTTTTTCCTTCTTACCAGGGATTTCCCCCTGGAGTAGCAAACAGCTGCTGTAAATGAATTAGGTTTCTTTCCCACGAACAGGTTTTTGATTAAGTCACACTCCACTTTTCTGTTTAGATAAGCCTGCCTAACTTCACATCCTCAACTTGCTGACATGAACTATTTTAACTGACTTAGAGATGACCCCACTTCAGAATGTTTTCGCTGACTAGTCTAAACACTACTTGGGCAGAGCGGGTGAATTCTATACGCGCAGGCTGCTCCGCGGGTGTTGGTGAATGTTTGAGTAGCCTGCAGTCACAGGGGCTTAACTTACCAGCAGAAGCCCAGCAGAGCTGAGCTTCAGCTCTGCTTTGCAGTTGAGCTTGTGAGACCTCAGTTGTACTTCCAAAACCCACAACACTGAAGCCCCCACGCAGCGTAACCGTCGCGTGCAGTCGGGTGTCAGCACACACACAGCCTCTGTGCCCTGCGCTGTGCCAGGGCACCAAACCCGGAGGGAGAGGGCGAGTGCATCCCCAGCTCCTCACTGGGGAGGTGCTGAGGCCTTTCCATGAACTTGGCTGTGTGCTAGGAGCGTCCGTGCTGCTGGTGGAGCATCCAGTTACAACAAGGCCGTGGGCAACTTCTGCACGTGTGGCTTAGTGCAGAGAGCTGGGAGCTGCTCTTGGCACCCTACCCCCAGCAACTGCATCTGCTGGGTATGGAGCCTCTTCTCAGGAGTAGTACTAAGAGCAGAAAACAATGCTCAGGCTGGAGTAAACCTCCAACTACTCCAGGTACGGACTGTAGGAAGAAGTCTTGAAGAACTGCTGAATGACAGCAAGCAAGAGGGTTTAGTCCAGGCCAGTTGTTTAACATAGGGTAGTCCAAGACTCTGGATTCATTAATGTGTATGGGCAGCAAATGGTTCTTAGCCCATCTGTAATGAAACTGCCAGGAAACTATTTCTGCAGAGGTGGGCTGAAAGCTGCTCTGCTCCTGACTGTAACTGTGCCGCATTTTGAACACGGACCTTCCACGTGTTCTAGGTTGAGAAACTCTTTACTGTACCTCCCTGGTGTCACTGCAGTTTGAGGCAGGGAGAAAATGTGGCCTTATGTGAAAGACATCTGCGTTTGCAGTGGCACTGGCAGCATCCGATGCTAGGATTAGGTAGATATGCTTTTGCCTGGTTACGTTTTGGTAACATATCTTACATTTTATGTTTACAGAAAGCTGTATCCATAAAGCAGCAGCACTTCCCCCTTTGTGTGAAAAGCAATTTTTCAATGGGGGGAGTGTCTTAATTTAATGATACTTAAGTTGCTAAGATCTTGATTTCACTTCCATATTAGGAAAAAAAAAAGTAGTTATATCAGGCAGTTAAATTGTGACTGATACCCGCTGAGTCTCTCCCTAGCATAGTTTACAGTTACTCGGCACATTTAGGAGATGCAGTGATCAGGAACAATGCAAGATCGCAGCGGATGCATGGCCTGAATAAGCACATCACTTTTGAAATCAGCTGAGAGCAATGAACTGGGATAATAGAAATACCCAGACTGAACTGTGTTTCCCAGCACCTAAGCTGGTGCATTACAGAGGACGTCTCCTGGCCCAGCGCGTCCCGTAGCCAGAGCCCAGTGTGCTATTGTTGGGTCAAATCTGCAGCCGCTTTCAAACAATGGCACAGAGCAGTACAACCTTCCCCCACTCATCTCTGTAGTCTGTTACCTCCAAAATCTAATTAGTTACTCCTGATCTGCTTGCATTAACCACTTCGCTCCTCGTTCTCATGTTTTGAAATGTTGAGTTTATACACTCCAGGTGCCACTGGAAAGGATGGCCTGTAGGGAAGAGTATGTAAAGATTTGAAGATCTATCATGTATTGTTTCTCAATAGTCAAGTAAAATCTGCTTTTAGAAGAGGGGCCAGGATGTTGTCAGGTAAGGGGCATAACAATCCTGTCTGCAAAGTGCAGGATCACTGAAGTTTTTGGGGTTGTTTTGTTGGTTCTGGTGTTTTTGTTTTTTTTTTTTCGTTGGGCAGTAAATCATTTTAACAATTTAATAAATATTTCTGAAAAACAAGTATTTCTGCAAGACTCGCGTCTTTTTTTTGTGGGAAGTTAATACCATCTTTGCTTGAGGATGCAGCATACAGGTCTCTTCTTTCCCCTGAAAAAGTCTCATATAACTTTATGGAAATAAAGCCTCAAACTGGGCAAGGTTTAGGACAGGGCCATTCAAAGGCTGATGAAAAAAAAGTTTAAAATACATCAGCAAATATTTAGGAATGGCTTATGATGACAAAGAACATGACAGAGCCTTTTCTATAAAGTGCTGTTAAGCTCCTCAACGGAAGATGTGTGTCTGTATATACACATCCTGGCTCTGAAAAAGGAGATGCTTTGCTCTGTTTTCCCCAGTTCAGCTACAACCAGCAGCAAGCCCAGTTTCAAGAACAGGATTTAAACCCTGTGCAGGCAGGACTTCACTCGCAGAGAGGAGGAGAGGACAGAGTAGGTGCAGCTGCACATTTAGCCATGACACTGTCCTTCAGTGATTGTCCATGCATTGATGAGGGACTCGGGGAGTTTTCTGACCTGCTTGCTGCTCTGTAATGCACATTCCTCCAGTAAAAGGGAGTTACATCCTCCCAGGATGTAAAAAATGCATTTATTACATGCTTCTCTCACCTCATAGAACTAATTAAGGAGCTAGCATTCCTAAAGATCTTGCCTGTCCCAGTCTCTTCAAGAAAATAATTTCCCATCAGCTTCTGTTTTGGGGCACATTTTTCAGAAAGTTAGTTTTTTGCTATTCCATTCCTATTTCTTCAACAAGTGACTATTTCATAAAGAGCATCCATCTCACTAAACGGATGTGAACATCTGGCATGTAAATAATTAAATACGGAGCTCTCTCATGAACCCTACTCCGGGCAGTCGGCGAAGTAGCAGGTGAGGTGTGTACTCAATTTCACTGGGATGCCCGTACATGTGGTGCGTTTCTTAAAGCATTCACCAGTTCAAAAATACTAATACAAAAGTTTATTTTCTCTGAAGAACAATTCAGCACGTATCTCAACTGCATTAGCAACCAAACTGCAGAGAACTTCGAGCAGGCGAGAGTCACAGGCACAAGGCAGTAATGCCACAGCTTGTTCCAGGAATGCTGCTCACAGCCCTGGGCTGAAGGCAACATCTGCAATGGGAACGCTGGGGATGTAAGAGGAGGGAATATACACCAACGCAAGGCACTCTCACCTATCGATGCTTATCATCATCTCTTTGTTTCTTGGTATCTCTTTCCCTGCTCCGGTCTCTATCCCTGTCCTTCCTGTCTCTGTCCTTCCTCTCCCTCCCTCTGCTCTTCTCCTCTTTGGAGTCCCTCTCTCTCTCACTTTCACCCCAAGTCCATGATCGCTCCCTTTCTGGCCATCGCTTGTCTCTGCTCCTTTCATGGTCTCGGTCCCTTGTTCTCCAGTCCCTCGTCCCCTCACGAGACCAGTTTCTTTTCTCTGATGATCCTTCTCCATAGAAATCATTTTTCATGTTTGGCAAATTGATGGGCTTTCGGAAAGGTCTGTCCCGTCCTCCAAACCGTAGCTGCCCGGATTCTTTTTTGCCTCCAAAACCACCTCCAAGCCTCCGTGGAATCCAGCCTTTGAGAGTTCTTTCCAGTTCAAAGTCTACAAAGATCTCATGTTGATCAATAACCAGCCTGTTGGCATCTCTGTGGGCCTTCAAGAGAGCACGCTCCTCTTTGTACTCAATAAATGCATAACCCTTGGAAAATCCTGTGACCAGGTCTCGAACCAGACGGATCTTTCTGATATCTCCATACCGGGAAAAGACCTCCTTTAACTTCTCTTCTGTTGTTTGAAGATTGAGCCTTGCTACAAACAGGGTGAGGTGAGGATCTCCTGTAACTCCCTTGTTGGGTACATAGCGTGCCAACATAGCCCTCCATATGGCACGGTCGTGGGGCTCTTCATCTGTGCCATCAATGCTCCCAGCTTTGAGGGGGTCATACTCCTTTGCTATGGGGGCCCAGTCATTCATTGTCTAGTGGGGAAAAAAAAAAAAATGCATTGCACAGATTCACAGTTACTTTAGGAAGAAGAGCAGCTTGTTCAAGAAGTACTTTCAGCACTGATGCACAGTACCTCTAATTCAAAAATCTCCAAAAATGTGACAAACTTAAATAAACCAACAATGTCGTTGTTTAAGTTCACTTGCCAGGGCAGAGCCATGTCATCATAGAATGGTTTGGGTTGGAAGGGACCACAAAGATCATCCAGTTCCAACCCCCTGCCACAGGCAGGGCCCCCTTCCCCCAGCCCAGGGTGCTCCCAGCCCCGTCCAACCTGGCCTTGAACCCTTCCAGGGAGGGGGCAGCCACAGCTGCTCTGGGCACCCTGGGCCAGCGCCTCACCGCCCGCACAGGGAAGAATTTCTATTATCTCATCTAAATCTGTCCTCTTTCAGTTTAAACCCCTCACCCTATCCCTACACCTCCTGGTCATGAGTCCCTCCCCACCTTTCCTGTCCCCCCTTTAAGCCCTGGGAGGCTGCTCAAAGGTCTCCCCGGAGCCTTCTCTTCTCCAGACTGAACCCCCTCAGCTCTCAGCCTGGCCTCCCAGGGGAGCTGCTCCAGCCCCTCGAGCATCTCCGTGTCCTTCTGCTTTTGGGGGCCCTGAAGCTGGACACAGGACCCCAGGGGGGATCTCCCCGTCCCCCCACCCGAGGGAGCCCCACGGCCCCGGCCCGTCCCCTCCGGGCCCTGAGGCGGCTCCGCTCGCCCGGCGCGGCGGGAAGGCGGCTCCTCCCGCCGGCAGAGGCCGACTCACCAGGCTCCGCGGGCCGCGGGGGGAGCCGGCTCCCGCCGGTGTTTATTTTAACCTCTTTCCTCCTCCCGTCCTCGTCGGGGGGGACGACGACGACGCCGCTCCCGCCGCCAGGAGCCCCCTGAGGCGCTTCGCCACGACGCCCGGCGAATATGGCGCCGAAGGACAGCGATGCGTTTTTACCTCCCTCCCGCCCGGCCCGGTTCGGCGCCGCTGACCAGGCCGGGGCAAAGCGAGAGCCGTCCCCGGGCCCTCCCGCGCCGCGTCCCTGCGGTCCCCTCACCGGCGGCGGAGGATGGGCGGTGTCTCCACAGGGGAAGGGGCAGGGCGGGAAGCGCCGCCGGGCCGCGGCCCCTCCGCCATGGAAAGCGCCGGGGGCGGGAGGGGTCGCTCCGCCCGCGGGCCCCGCCGGCAGCAGCGGGGAAGGAAGTTCGCGGCGGGCCGCGCCGGGCATGCAGCAGGGCCGGGAGGAGGAGGAGCAGCTGGAGGAGGAGGAGGAGGAAGGGGACGGCGGCCCGGAGAAGGCTCTGGAGAAGAGCCCTTTCCAACTGACGGCCGGGGATGTCTATGACATCTCCTCCGTGGTGGGCCGGGACCTGCTGCAGCTCAGCGCCGGCCCACGCGTGCCCGCCGCCCTGGCCCGGCTGCAGTTCAGGATCGTGAGGGTGCTGGAGATGCTGGAAGCGCTGGTGAGCGAGAGCAGCCTGGCCGAGGAGCAGCTGCGGCTGGAGCGGGACAGCCTGCGGCGGGAGGTGGAGGAGCTGCGGGCAGCGGGGTCCCCAGGGAGCACCCAGCAGGTGGGTGCCGGGGTCGTGGTGGGTGCCCACCGCGCAGCACAGCGTGGCCTCGGTGTCAGTGAGGTGGCCCATGTGCCAGAGACCCCTGTCCCCAACGCAAGTCGTGGCCCGGCTGCTTGGCCACATGCGGGTGGTGAAGCCCACCTTGACACCCCAGGGGCAGGGTGAGAGTTCTGCCACAATCGCTTTTATCACAGCAGAACAAGGCTCGGACAGTTGACTTACATTTGTGGAACGTCTTGAAGCCATTTCCAGAGCAGAGATCTTCAGGGCCGTTACAAGTCGCAGTGCTTTGGATCCTCACTCCTGTTTTGCTGTAGGGACTAACCACGCTTTTAGTTCAGCAACGTGCGGTGCTAGTAGGAGAGTTCAGACACACGCGGGCAGATTTTCAGAGTACAAATCCATCATTGTACAGCTCTTACACAGCACCAGTCCCATAAAGGCAACTTGCCATTTACGCAGATGCTAAAGCTTTGTTGCTCTGTGCAAGGGAAACTGATGTCTGCGACCAAAAAAGCCATTACCACAGAGGTCTTAAATTAGGAAAGGGGAATTCAGTTCTCACTTATCTTTGCCACAGAGTTTTGGTGTGACATTAGACAGATTGCTCAGTCTCTCTCATCATCAGAAGAGCAGGTAAAAGCAGCTTCTTGGCAAACTAGATTGCAAACCCTTTGGGACAGAAACTTTGCTTTTAGCTGCAGTCAGAGCCTGTCGCAGTTGGGCCCCATGCTTGGCTGGGAAATGCAGATACCAAGGGAATACAAAAATAATATGAGAAACTAATTAACTGCTTAGAAAAGAATCAGGATTGTGATGGACTCACACCGATTCTAATAATTACTACGCATTGATAAAATTCAGAGTTTTTACTGTACGAGTGCCCTGGTTTTGACCAGTTACAAGATCATGACCACCACCATTTATTTTACAGCTCAGCCTTGGACCGGATAAAATGATAATAGACCTCACAGATCCAAATCGCCCCCGGTTCACATTACAGGAGCTGCGAGATGTATTGCAAGAGCGTAACCAGCTGAAAGCTCAGCTTCTTGTTGTGCAAGAGGAGCTACAGTGCTATAAGAGGTATATCATGAAGCCAGCAAAGAACTAATAACAATTACTTCTTGTCTGGGGAGCTTACCAGATCGGAGCATTGCAGGTTTGAGCACATAGGCTAGGCACTGTCCAGATGTGTAAGAGACATGTGCTCCCAAGAGCCTACAAATGAACAAAGAAAAATGGGGGAATGATGTCTCTATGCAACATAATTTTAAAAGTAAACTTCCTCTTTTTCTGTGCAGTTAGTGGCCCGTTTCCATAACGGTACCGCTGTAAGCCTACATACAGTCACTCCCACTCCTCGTACAAGCTGGGTCTCATGCACATGACTTCATCTCTGCAATCACAGCAGTTGCACACATACTGCTCTTGTCTGAAGCCACGCTACATACCAAAGAGCACGGGGGTTTCCACCTCAGCTTTAGTCAAAATTTCCTTCCTCCTCCAGCTTGCCGTTGGGGATGGTAGCTTATCTGCTGTTCCTTTGCTCCCCCAGTGGGTACAGCATTGATCTAGAAAGCAGAATATTTATCCCTTTCATCATCATTCAAGATAAGCTGTGGAGGTTTTTCGTTTTAAGACTGCCAACAGAGGGTTGTGTAAGGCACTTGAACTGTGCAAACCGAATGCTTTCAGAGAAGGATTTTGTTTTTTCTAGAGGGGACCAGCCTGGGAGAATCAGTATGAGCCAAATGGCGCGATGCAGGAAGGGTCTTGGCTCTTGGTGCTAGTAATTAATTCACCTCCAAGGCTGCTCTCCCCAACCTCTGCCCCTCATCATCAGGTTGCATTATAAACTCTTTGGGGCAAGAAACTACTTCAGAATCTAGACAGAAAACATCCAAGCACATTAGATCTCAGTTGAGATATTTCAGCAACAACCTCTTAGATACGGTAAGCCTGCCCTTCGCCTTGCCTATAACAGGCAGGTTAAGCCAAGAAGTTAAAGTTAAATCCAAGAAGTTGGTTTACAAACTGCCCCACAGCACTTCTCAGCACAGTGGGGCACCCTTCCCCAGCTCAGCTGCCTGCCTTTGCTGTGCCCCTGGAATGCCTTCTTGCTTTGATTTCCCAGCTGTGTTACACAGCTTATTACAGGCCAAGTTAAAAATTAACAGTGTGAATTCAGTTTTTGAGTGACTTAGTCACAGAGCTGTGGACATAGAAGCATGTCAAGATTGCTTTTCAGTTCAAGTAATTGTACATGGTTATCTCATACAGCATTACAACTTAAGCCAAAAACCATCTTCCCATTAAACATTCACATAAAATCCTAAGCATAATTGTATGGCTGTAAAGAGTAGTTCTGCAGAGGAAAAGGACAGGAGTATTTGTTCTAAAATGTCTTGTGTGTATCACAAATAAGCTCTATATAGCACAAGGTAACTGACATCCTCATGGAGAATGGCATAAAATGACTGATGAATTTTGGGGATTGCACTTTTAATGATCTCAGAGTAGAAGTTACCGTGCAGATGTTAGAGATCTACAGCATCACCCCACAGCTCATAGTCCTGTTTCTCTAGGAGGAGAATCTGCCTCAGAATTATCCCATGCCTGATGTCAGACCAGTTTCTAGATACTCTCCTGTATTTTTATTTCCAAGTTCCAGATGAGTGGTGCTTAGCTACTTTCAGCTACCACAGTCACAAGCTTTGATCCAGTCAGCTCTTGGGATAACTCAGAGCTCAGGACAGTAAATTGGCATACTGTGAAATCAGTGCAGTGTGCAACTGGTAAAATCAAACCCGAGTTCAAGTGAAACACCCTTTGATAAAACCAAAGCTTTTGCCTAAAGTAGGTGGTTAGAACCTTGCAGAGTATAGCAGCATCAAAGCAGGATGACCAAAATCTACAGCTCAGGCAAAGCCTTTCTTTTCTCCTCTGTGGGATGGAAGGAGGAACAGGCACCTGCCTGGCCAGGAAACTGGGAATCTCCCCTCTGTTCTCAGCTGCGCAGCATGAGCCTGCGTGGCTGTGCTGAAGGTACCATAGATCCACCCGTGCAGAAATTCCCCATTTAGTGTCTGCACCCTACTGTTATCTTTGGACTTTTGTACAAATCCAACATGTCATTACACTTCCCTTTCACTACTGTTATGATTTGCCATTCTTCCTCTCTGGAGAATTCAGCTCATTACTTTTTTAGTGTTCTCAGTGAAGGACAACCTAAGCAAAACTCCACTGCAGTATTTAAGGAAAATAAGAGCAATTCATTACAAAGAATAGGCCAGGCTGACATCCCTGTCCTGTGAGCAGCCATTCACCCAGACCCTGCGCTGCCCAGGGAAGGATTTTAACACATGCTGTGCCACACTACACACAAAACCACAAAAAATAAAGCAAGCTTCCTCTTTTCCCAGTGGGATCATCTCACCGAAAAGGGACCAAACTGAAGAACTGGAAAAAGAAGCCAGAGGCAGCAGCAGCCCCAGCACCAGCAAGGACAGCGAAGAGAAGACAATCATCAAACGGCTGTAAGTTGGTCTGCATCTTTTTTTGGCAGAATATGGCATGCTTCCTACATACTGAATCCAGGGATGAATTCTGAACTTTAGCCTAGTTGGCTGAATACTGTCTTCTACTCCCTGGAAAATTAAAACCCAACAGAGAAATCCTATTCCTGTGGAAAAATCACTCAATGGGAAGTCAACCTCCACGCAGCCAAGCAGGGTGTCACTTTTTTTTCCTAGGAAGAAATAAGCATTTCAGAGCAAAACTAGGCAATGCTTGCCTCCCCTGGTAGCACATGAAGACTTTACTGTGGGAACATGCCAGCTGTCCCCAGGGCTTTGTTTACATTGTGCAAAGCAGCCGTAGGCAGTACCCGCAAGCTCAGGCTGCAGCTCTAAAGTTCCCCAAAATAGCAGAACACACTGACAGAGCTGTCTCACTGCATGTGCCTTCTTTTCCAGTTGTACATTATTGTTTCCTTTTTGGTTGTGGCTTTTCTTTCTTTTTTTTTTTTTAGGTTCTCTTTTAAACATGGAAAATGAGCATCCTCGAGAATTTAACCACTCCTGCTCAGAAATGGCACTGATGAGAGCCTCTATGGCGTTAGAGGAATCAACGATTGGAAGAAAAAGCATCACTTCTACCGTAGAGAATAAGCATTCTCATAAAAATTGTGTTGTATAATATTCTTTCAGAATAGATTTTACTTCGCTTTTTTAGAAACTGTTTGACAGACACTTTTTGTATTTCTTAGATTCCTACCAGATATTACCCACATCTAGAAAATAAGTATTTTATACAAAGGTGGTTTTTATTCTTATTAAAGGAGCCTGTGCTAATCTGTTCTACCACTTACTCATCCTGTCAACCTATCAAAATGCTTGGCCCAACTCATTTTACAAGATGAAGATATTTTTTAGAGCTACATGCTGTTCACAGATGCCTTCATACAGAAGCACTGGGAAGGAAGAACCCATTCAGAGTGCAGTCCCCACTGCTCTTGTACAGAAAGTAATTATCTTGCGCTAACACAGAACTGCTTGAAGAAAACCCCAGCATTGCTTTTTGTTCTGTGTCTTTCTTTGCATTAGATGGGCAATACACAGGCAGTAGCAGGCAGAAGCCCCACCAAAGGAAGATGCCACTGGGCTGTGACAAGAGCAGCCCTGCACACACAGGAGTGGCTGCTTGGGGTCGAGATGAAAGAGGGTGAAGAGCAGCACAGCAAGGGAAGAGCACAGTTGCTGCCTTGTGCTCTGCTCCCACGAAGAACTGACGTCTTTTTGGAGTTGCAGACATGCTCAAACTGGAACAGATGCACCAAACATTTCATTTCTGACAGCCAAAGGTCTCCTGTGGTAGACAGTTGTATTTTTCATAAGCTCTGTTCTTTCAATCAGCTGCCACAAGCTGTGTATTATCCCCAGTAATGAGATTTATCACTAGTGGAAGCATACAGTGCAAACAGAAGAACAAAAAAAGAAGGTTGAATGATACCAATTAGGGTCCACATTTAGAAGAGTAGAATTTCCAGAGCAGAAAAAGTCTGAATAGATATAAAAGGAGCAGTGACAGGTATCAAACTATGATCTTACTCTCTTCAGAAGTGGAAGCGGGCTCTGAAATCTTTTGATTCCCTCATACACTAGTAGCATGAAAAATATAGGACACTTTGCACATCTGCTCAGATGCACAACACAAATGTGGCTTAGTAGAAGGCAGAACTGCAGTCTCCTTTCAGAGAGATTTTGTCAGCAAATGCACATTAGCAAGGCAATGCCAACTATGTCTGATCTAAGGAAGTCAGTTTAGCCAGGGCACAGAACTGCTAAAGTCATTTTGCCATCTTCAAAATATTAATAAGCCTTAGCCATGTTTCCATGCTGTATTTTCTAGAGCATGATAGCAGGGAAGGAAGTTACTGAGTTTCCTTTGTGTTTAGAGAGAGAAAAAACAAACCACCAATCCTACATCAGCAACAGCCAGGCTATACCTCTGAGCTGAAAAAGTGTTTACGTGTGCTCTGAACTCCATCCTCTTCTGTGGTTTATCCAGGGATGTATTTTCCCACCTTCTTTAAAAACAGGTTGGGGGGAATTATGCCCCAAAACACACTAATCACTCTATTAGGTCTTAATGAAACAACCTCGGGTAATAAACTGCACTGATAAAGCAGAGCTGTGCAGAAGTAATAGACTGCCACAGAGGCACAGAAGACTAACATAGCCCAAGGCCACTCTTTGCAGTTAGTTAAAGACAACAATCATGAAAGCTGCAATTACTGCTTTCAGTTTACCATTGAAGATGTTATTTATTTAAAAAAAAAAAAAAAAAGATGGGAGTTCACTAGTTAAAAGTAGACAGGAGAACACCTCAATTTTTCTGGGCTAGTCTTTCTGGAACAGTCACAGTTGCATCCACTCTGGTGTAAAGTGAGCTGCACAGCTTCTCTCTCAAAAGGGGGGGCAAATTCCTTGGCCATGGCTACAACAGGAGAGGCTACAGTCCTGTTGGAACAACCCGCTGCCTCACGTGAGCCTGACAACAGCAGTTCAGCTCCCAACCCAAGGGCATCTTTCCCTGCTAAGTGCTTTACACCTTGTTAAAAGATTAAACTTTCCTATAAGGCACAGAGATAAAAAAAACAAACGGCATGATTTTGTGAAAAGTATTTAGATATGTATGATGTGTATATATATATCAGTTCATAGAAAAGTAAAGGATACATACTCAGTGCAACATCAGCTTTATTACCATCTTCCGGTGCAGTGCTACTTGATTACGAGTTAAGCGTTTCAGAGAAGACAATTTTCTTTTTATGTAAAATAAGGAAGAGATCTTCCCCCTTTATGGTTTACAAAAGTGATGCTGAAGAACAGACATTTTAAGCTATTTAACCTGATAGAGAACAAGCAAATGTTTAAATAAAACACAAAAAGAAGCATTTAATTCCAATTTTGACTTAAGGGAAATGCTCTAGTACAACAGGATACTGTACACTGCTGTAGTCTCTGTTACTGAGACCAGAGAAAAATCAGTGTCAACTTAAATAAGTCATCCAAAGAAGCTTACCTGTAACTCAATATGTTGTAAGGTAACAGGTCTCCAGTTAATTCTTCAGAAATGCTGAAAATACACAGGCTGTCTCCGATGAGCTTGCCTTGTGTTAAGTAGTAAATAATATATAGCATTTAATGGCTAATGATTTTCACAGCTTTCTCTCAAAATGCTAATGATCTGCAGTGGAGACAGGTACTATAGCAGCCACTTCATCAATAATAAATATATTCTTTATTTTACAGAGACATTGTCTTCAAGTTTTTAATTTAAAAAATACATCACTAAGCCACCTCTCTTGCTGCTGGAGCATACAACCAGGATGGTGTTGCTATTTGACCTATCATATAGGCAAGCACGTAAGATTGTCCTAGAGGGCATCAGCTGGAACAGCAGCAGCCTTCAAGACATGAGGAACAGAAGACATTAAGAGCGCCACAGATCCCTTGCTGACATCTTCCAGCAGCAAGCGTGGCTGATGGCTCACAGCCATTTTCATTTACACACATGCCAAGCCTGCCTTGGCAAAAATTCCAACTGGTAAGAATTCATCTTTAACATAAAGGACCTGCATTGTATTGCCCGCCTATATCACAGATGTGGTTCTCCAACAGTAACGTTACAAACATCCGCAAGATGCTAAGCACTTAACTCCCATTTAAGACAGTGGGACCAGACCATGCTGGACAGACCTACAGGACCAGGCAATAAGGAATCTACTTTCTTCATTGCATGAACTCCATCATCAGTTTGAAGCTGCATATGAAGATGACTCCTATTTTTGGAACCGCTATGCTCTACTTCAAGCATTCACAGTAAATAAATAGCTTCTGATGTGGCTAATTAGCATAGGAAGGTAATAAAAAAAAGTTTTCGGAGAGTGCTTTTACTCCTTTAAAATCCTCTGGGAGACACCTCCAAGATTCGGCCATCAACTATAAAAAGGTACCATCTTAAATTTTAGAAAATAAGTAATGTCAAACATTGATTCTCACTGTGAAGTTCTATCTTCACATTCCCAATCAGTTTCAACCCAGTCTATCAAAATCCATCCTAATTTGGCTTGGAGTCATTTCTCTGAAGAAAGGAGCCAATTTGACCATCCATTTCCCTCAGCGCCAGTGCAATTAATGTTCATTGCCAACATGAGATATGACACTGGAAAAACTGGATCCCTACCACAAATTATTTGATAATGATAGTAGCATCTACCTCAGAGAAGCCTGTCAGCACTGCATTGTAAAAAGCAGTCTGACAAGCGGTCAAGCCATTGGATGTACAAGTCAGAATACAGAAGTACATCTGCTGTCACATAAAGCTAATGCCAGGTTCATCACCCCACAAAGTGGAGCGTGAGATTTCACTGCGAAAGCAGAAGCATAACCCAAGTGATTAAGCTCCTGTGCAAGTCTTTGACTGCATGCTCAAGTGGCACTGGTCGCTATGCAGAAGTATTCAAATTTTAGGGAGGGTTTCCTTTCATGATATAAGGGTTTTGGCAATCTAAGATCAATTATTCAAGCCTGCCTGGAAAACTGTAATAAGTATTTAAATACTGCAAAGCAAAAAGGTAGTTTTTAAGGAGCTCAGAACACCATAAGCAGTCCATTAAGAAAGCCGAGGGAAGTGAGGACAGGAAAAAAAAAAAAAAAAATCCACTGACTCCTTGTAGAGCACTCAGTCCAAAGAAAAAAACAACCCACCAAGACCAAAAGCCAAAAACAACCCAAACAAAGGAAATTAATTAGTGTTTCAGCCACGGATGAGCTTCAATGGAAGCTTTGCTTCTGTCTCCATAGTCATACAACAGTTCTTCACCTGCTTTAATGTCTCTGGAAGCTATCAGTATGAGATGAGGCACACCATCAATGTCATGGAGCTTTGTTTGACAATTGCCACATTTGCTGTGATTAATCAGTCTTCCCAGACGATTAGTTTCTTTTGTAGCATCAACACTGAAAGAACAAGAACAGAATGCAAGATTGCTGTATATGATGTTTGTGGGGGAAAAAAAAAAGTGCAAATCAGATAAAGAATAAGGTATCCACACAAGGCTTGAAGAATGAGAGAAAACCAGAATGTTGCAGAATATTCATATGATTAAACAGACAGCACATAACACGTCAACGTAGGTAATCTAAAACAGATCTGGAAGATTAAGCTAGCACAAAACACAGAAAACAGAAAACTTTGGACTACGTTTTTGAGCTGTTTCCAAGCAGCTCTCAATTGTTCATGAGAAATAGTGGAACACCACCACCAGAAAGGCTCAATAGCTTAAAAACCCTCTCCTCAGCAAAGCTGTATCCAAGCTAAGTAGTATCTACTGAGTAAGCTAGCAAGAGTTTCTACTCACATGGACAGCTGAGAATTCCTAAATACTATATGCCCAACTTCTGGAGACCTGGATACTAAAGCTCTGGTGTCCATCATTACACAAAGAATTGTTATGGCAACTATCATTATGGCATCTAGACTGCAAGTCAGACACTTAGAATATAGGGCACTTCAAGGTAATTAATATACAGGTTAAGTGACCCACACTCCAGTACCCAGCAGTATCAGCCAAGGAGAAAATAACAGTCTTAGTAGTTGCTCTGAGATAACTGGAGTTTATGGCAAATGAAACAACTAGAGTGATAAAGCACGCATGTGGGGTACATGTCAGGTACCAGAGAAAGAAGACCCAGTCAAAAACTGTTGAAGGAAACATTTCTCTTTCAGGGAGTTTGTCCATACTGTTTTTCAAACAAAATCCTTGCAACTCAGGAAAAGTACTTAATTTTACAAGAGCATAAACTTAGGCAGAAGTCCACAGCAAAACTAGAAGTCTCATCCAAGCAGATACAACAAGCCATATAGCTTGCGCTGTACTTCAGAGATCAGGGCTTTGAGTCACCTACCATTCCTTTTAGCCCAGAGGCACATGAGGCTTTTGCATCATGAAATAGTGCTCAAAGATCTCTTAATTCATGGTTCCCATGGAAAAATAAATAATTGC